AGAGAATTGTGGAGATATTGTTACCTACTACACAACCTTGAGAGTTATCAATTTGTTGTATATATGAGATTATATTTCTGTGCTGACTATTTACAAACAAATTTCGGATAAAACAAGTCATAATCGGACATTTTTTTATGTGAGAATTGCACAATCGAGCCGGCGGTTAATCTGATGTTAAGCGATCCAACAGGCCATTGACATTTGCAACACCTATAGGGTTGCAGATGCGTTGCCACCTTGTAAGAAAGTGGGCTCCGGATACCCCACTGACCAGACACACTGCAGTATATCAGAATAGTGGCAAACGCGTATTCTACAGCGTGTCGTTACCATCGCGACAATAAATGAACACACGTCTAACGCTACTTGCCAATAATCAAAAAAATATTAACGTTAAACAAAATCCATAATTAAAAAAAAAATATTTTTCAAACAAACTAATTAAGTAAAAAAGAAACAAAATTTGTAACATCCTATACAACCCGCGCCACAGCGTCGCATTACAAGCCTCTCCTTCTAACAGTATGTTTTGTCTCTTTTCAATTCATTCAACCCATTCATATGCTTTGTGACCTTTACAAATGAACTTTACGTTACGCTTTTATAGGTAAGGGTGTTCTAAAATTCTTTGTTTTGGAAAATTTAATAACTCTGTAAATATTGATGTTTAAAGAATTTAAATGTTTAATACAACTTTAAAAAGTTATCCCCTATATGTGTGTTCATTTATTGTCGCGATGGTAACGACACGCTGTATAAAGCCTGCCCAAAATCTTTAATGAAAGGACTCATAACATTTATTTTTTTATTTTATTGTTCGAATTTAATCGTACCCAAGTATAACGCCACTCATCCTCAAATACCTGACGTTTCATATGCCATCGATATTACCTTTATGGTTCGTGCAATATACAACCATGATTACTTAAAATTTCTTAAAAACATTGCCCTTACTTTAGGATAATATAATTCTGAGTTGTAAGGACGTTTTACAAACATTAATTAAACGTGGACAAACACCCAGCGAACAACTACGAGTTTGGGGATCAAACCCCCGACGCCGAATCCAGTACCTTGGCAACTGCGCAACAAAGTCATCTAATGATGTATACACAATAACCTGAAAACATCCCAGTGTGTGAAATGTAGACTCAGTTATCACAAGCCGGTATTTAAAGATCAAAACGACGTAGAGACCGTATAAAGGAGTTTATTCTTGTCTCTAAAGGCTGGTAAATCCTTTTTATTTTATAAATAATCTGCTGTAGCCCCTGTCGGTGAATGGCAGTGATCTTATTATCAGATGATCCGATTACTTATTTGCTTCCTTTTCGATATAAAAGGTTACGTATTAAACAATTCTACTAAAAGTTTAAGTTCTCTAACAGGTTACGTACTAAACAATTCACCACAATTCAGTATCTAGTAAAAACTATATACCATTAAAGCCGTAATAACTCAATGTCCGGGCGCTCGCCTTTAATTCAATATACTGAAGCAACCTGCGTTCAAATCCCATAGCGAGCTCCAATGAAATTGTTAATGGAAGTGCGGACTTATCACGTGCTCAGCCGTGAAGGAAAACAACGTGAGGAAACCTGCATATTTTCAAAATACCAAAAAAAATTTCGAATATATGTCAATTCCGCTTACTTGCAGTGGGGTCGCGTGGTAAACTATACCCTAACACCCTCTGTACAGAGACCTTTGGCCAGCAGTGGGACATGTATAGACTATTAATTTACTTTTTTTTTAACTATATAACATTGTGCAATGCATATACATACGAATGTTCCAATCACGTCAATCCAAATTTAAACCTTAAATGTGCGTTAATTCCCTTCCATTGTTGCGTGTAGCAATAAGAAGTGAGCTCCTGACATAATTGACCCATCTCTCAGAACATAGAGTCAATCGAGGCCCATGGGTATTTATAACTCGCTCGTAACCGCCTCAAATTGGCTCAAATTGTCCCAACTGGCTTGATTAGTCTCTATTTAGGACGTTGCGATCATTTCATAAGATGTTTTCTACTTTCATAAATTACTCTCTTAATATCAATGAGAGCACTCAGTCAATAGACCTTAGCTACTTCCTTTGATAAGTGGTAATTCGTGCGAATTCAGATCTTCACGTCGATTTTATAAGACTCGTTTTGAGTTGGCCCTAAATCGATGTATCTTCTTGGCAAATTACCAATACAGCTTTCATGATAATCAAATGCGCCTGAACTTGTTACTTTGTTAACTGTTGACTCCTTATCTTACCCGTCTTTGTTCGTTTCCGTTTGGAAGAACATGCTCCAATACAGTAATAACTTTTCTCTCCTCATCATGGGTTGTTATGAACGTTTGTTTTGATAATTCTTTTTAAAATTTTAAGTTTCTAAATGAAACTATGTTTACGGATTTATCGCTTTAATTTTTGTATTTATTTCCCAATGTTTCGAACCCTTTACAGCGTTCATGGTCACGGGATTGCCCCACAGATAAAAATTTTAATCAACTTTCTACTCGTCTCCAAAGCGCCGCTGACCGCCTCGGCGATTGGTTCCGCAAATGGAGAATTGGAGTAAATCCCGAAAATACACTATGTTGTATTTCATATTTGGCCATTCACTTCACACGAAGTACTTACGCGTCACATCTTTCTAAAGGTCATCGCCAATGCAGAAAAAAAGCTAGGGCAAATATCTCTTTATGGCCAACCGCTCCCCTGGGAGAAAAAGGTTAAATATTTAGGAGTCACTTTCGACTCGCGTATGTTATTCACAACGCATATTAACAACGTCCGTAATAGAGCCGCGTTCGTCTCCGGCCGGCTAAGCACTTTAACTAACAAATTACTTTGATACAAAGCTTGCGTACGGCCAATCATGTCAAACGCATGAATGATTTTCGCCCACACGCACCCTACTCGCTTGCACAAATTGCAAGTAGTGCAAAATAAGTTCATCCGCCGCGCAACCGGTACGCAGTCGTATCAACTTAACGTCGACCTGCACAACGATTGTAGACTCCCGACGATTCGTGAATTTTTCAAAGACCTGACCAAACGGTTCTTCGATCAAGCCGAACATCATACCAACCTTCTGGTGGTAAGCGCAGCAAATTACCAACCCGATCCAAATGCGACCGTCAACAAGCGTCGCCCGCGAAACGTCCTCATCGACCCGGTCGAGTAAGGGGACGTCGAACCCACCGTCGGGGATATACCGCCGGGTAACACTACACACAGTGTCGCAACAAACACATTAGTTCGCCCTCGCCTCCGAGACCAACACAACGCGTACGGTACACAACGGTTCTCACCGCCCCCAGCCACCGATTAGCTAAAAACACAGTCGACAGATGACATGGCGTTACTTAAACGCACGCATGAGCACATGCGCGACTCTACCCACAGCGGAGGGCCCAAACCCGTCGGTTCTGGCTATTCCACCGGTTCTGCGTCAGATGAAGCTTTAATAGTCTCGGGACTGAAAGCACAAACATCAGTTAATACAAGATACAAGGGACAGACTGAAGCGTTGGACGTATGCCCTTGTTAGTCTAGGCTGTCCTGCCTGGACGCTATCCCGTAATTCCAGAAGTTTCGAAAACTTTAAATTACTCATGGTCCCATGTCCATAGCTTAAGCATATTCTTCAGCTCCTTGTGAGCTTCATTTGGAGTTTGTCTAAAGTCAATTGAGTTACTTTTTTCTTAATCTCTACTCTTAAATAATTAAGACATGTACAGAGTATGTACGCGTTGCTACCATTTACCAACGCGGCGGCGCGGGACCCATAGACTAAAGTAACTTAGACTATAATGAGCGTACTGTTTCAACGCACTGTCTTTCATCACTGAAACTTAACGTAATCTAAATGCGCCTATTAACGATTAAATTACTTTTTCGAAAGAGTTAAACCCGGAACCTTTTGTTGAACAATAATATTATGGGTCGCCATGTCGAAAATGGCTATTTTCGACAAGGCGACTCTATTTTACCTTTAACATTAATTGTTTGTTTTACTAGGATTCTTAGCAGCTCAGGCAGATACTAATGATTTAATTGATTCATTTAATTCTAATCGGTTAAAAACCAATTAGAATTGTCTCGAAACGTAACTCGATCTCTGTTTGACAGATATTATAAAATAAGTGATGCTTTACTATCTCACCCTATATTTTGATATGGACTTTAGATATCGATGATAAGTGAATAATATTTCATATCAAAGAATAAAAATATTTTCAAAGAATAAAAATTATCCATATAATAATAAAATCCTCTTTTCCCGCGTACATGATAAGATCGAGTTTTTTCGTCAAATAACATACATGAAATTAACTTTTCGTCGATCGTTTTGTTTATGTTAAGGTAAAGTAAAGGGGTAATTTAGAATTATATAAAATGATTTTAAAAAAATAGGTACGTTTACAATTCGTTTTGTATTTTTCCATGTCTGCCTCTGAACCTGGTTTTAAAAATTATTTTTGCATTGGTTCGGTTTAACGTCTGTCCGGTCCCATATTATTTTCATAGGACATCAAAAGTCGTTTTTGTTTTTTGTTAATAAACATGTTGTTTATTACTAGTTCCTTCAATCATTTTCTCTTTAAAAATTTCTGTTAGCAAAATGTGTTTCATATAAGAATAAGGTTGTTTAAAATCCCACATACGGATCAAAATTAGGTCTGCAAATATGATTTTACTGTTATTGCTCACCAAGCTAGGAATGCCATACTATATCGAATACTTTGATTCATTAACGATGTTAGGCTTTTATTCGGGACACTAAATAGCGTTATCGCGGTCAATACACGGTTGTAACCCGTGGAAAGAGCTTGCACTATGCAAATAGAATCTGTCTAGATTAAAGTCTGTATTGCCGTCGTCGTCGGATATACAGGGGCGTTGTTTTTATCGATGTGTTGAATAGAGCACCGCTGCATGCAGTTTTCGCGAGGGAGCCGGCCATCCGGAGAAGGACGCGGAGGGGCAAGGCCTCACCTGCCGCCCACGCCGCCTCCACCGCCGGCCCGTATGCTCTGTAGCGACCGAACTTGTATGGGCGTAGGCAGCGTGGGACGCGGCCTAAGTGGACCCGACGCCCGCGTGGACAGCTGTGGCGGGTCGTCAACGTCTTTTATGTTTCATTATCGAGCGCTGCGTGGGCGTCGATCTCGCAGCCGGCCTTTGTAACGGATACGAACTTATATAGGATACGATATGAACGTTTTAAGGATATGAACACGTCCACTGTTTATCTAGACCGGTATTACTTGATATTACAGTGAAGTTTCTTGACCGTAACTTTCACTCGTTTGTTTAAGTTTATTTGTCAAGTGGAGCCTGCAAACAAGTTTTAGGATTATATTGAATATATAAATAGATTTAGTGCTGCTATACAAACTATACTATACAAACTGATTCATTCAGCCCTTAGTTCGCGTCTCAATTAGGTTTAAATCGAATCTATTTAACTTGTGTATTTATTGCAAAACGTATTTGGTAATAAATTGTAAATAGTACCGTTTTGAACTTCGTTTATTACCATGCGAGAAGAGGGTTTAGAGAAAATATTATTGTGTGCATCAATCGACATTCGCGCAAAGCCGCAAAGGATTCGCCCGCGTTGGCGAGCGAGGCAGGAGGTGTTAACGATCGCCCTACAGCGGGGTGCGAAGGGCTGCAGGTCTCGATTCACCCCGGCCGGGTTGAATCCGATGCGAAGTCCTTGCGGGCGCGGGGGCGGGCGAGGCGGCGGGGGCGGGGGCGGCGGCGGCGAGTTCATTCAGCGCGGCGGATGAATGGGCCCGAGCGATGAGTCACCGGATCGATGCCGCGCCACTGTCTTCCCCCCCCCCCCCCCCCCCCCCCCCCCCCCCCCCCCCCCCACCCAGCCTAACCCCGCCCGCGCCCATCGCGCGGCTGCGTGCCACCGTCGAACTGCTGCACCTCGGCTCCGTCCCAATTTTCTTTTTCTACACCTACTGCGGAGGCGAAGGTGGCCGCAATGATGAGGCCAAAAGTCGGTCAACGTACATAGTTGAGCCGTTTGTGGTTTTTTAATTTACGTCTGTGCTAGTAAACCGCGGCTAATGATGACTTTCGGATAGTGCGTCGTAGTACGCCGAAAATAAACACGCTGCTTTCGTCTTATCTAAGGTGGTTGTCCGATTGATTTGCTATTGTATTTTATTCGACGTACGGTACAAGCTCTCATCCCGTCAGCCTAAACTTTGAATGTAGCGGATCCGGGAGTTCTAAATAATAGCCGTTATACTTATTATGCAACAGAACTGACGGAAAAAAGTCTTTTAAGCTTATGATATTCGAAAAACGAAAGCTCCATTTACCTGAGAAACAAAACACTCATTCTACTCCACTGGAACCCGGGACCTCGGATTTTCAGTCACTGTCCCCGGCCACGAGTTTTAAGATTCCAATCTTTCAATGGCAGGTTTTGTGGTTGTTACCAATTAACTGAAATCAGGACGAGTGACCGCAGAGTAATCGTTTTTACGTTTCGAAGATGAAGCAATTGTAACCTGAACTTGTACAAACAAATTAAACAAATACAGCGTCACGTGATATAAGCATAACAGTGTAATAAAAAGAATTAGTCTACATTATTGGATATAAAAAAATATTATACTGCATTTTTATTAAATCTTTAATGGCTATGCTTGCGTTCGGAACCAGGGACTTCTAGCCTTTATGGACTTAATACTTGACTGCAGTGAGCAATAAAGTTTAAGTGGTTACGATAAGAAAGTTCACAAAGAAACCTGTTACTATAACGTCAAACCTTTCCAAATGAAGAACATGTACCATTTATATAATCGCGAGCCACCGGTTCGTGACCTATGTGGTACGTGAATATAAGCTCTCGATGTCGGATATAAAGCCGACCCACGCTGCGGCCGGGGAGCCGGTCGTGACGTAACGTCCGACATTAGCATCACAATGGCGGACGCGTCGGCTGTCGGGCGGCAGGAAACAGTCGGCCGACGCGGACGGCGCGGCGGCGGAAACGACACCGTCGCTGCCGCCTCCCGTTTAGATGTCTTTCACTTATTAAAAAAATAAACCCACTTTCGCGCCATTCATGATAGTTATAACGTTTCAACGTTATCTGCGATAGATGTATTTGCTAATCATCGTTTTATAATTATTTTGTTTCTTTTTTTAAATAATTTAAGCGTGTAGTATATGTTACATAATATTTTAACCACTATACGTTTACCGTTTATATTTTGACGACGATTCCTTTCTATGACCTGCTGTAACGGTTCTGAAATTTCCGGAATTTAAAACAAAATTTGTACATATTAAAATGACACATTCACAGTCCAATGTCATTTTATGTTTGGAAAACAAAAAAAAATCTGATAAAAATATCATGAAGAAAATGTGCACATTAAGATTCTTTATCCCTGTTTTTCTCTTTTCTAACATCACTTCTTCAATACATTTAGATTGTATAAGGGTTTTATAGCACAGCAATGAATACAGGGTATTGTGAATATACAGATTGAAAAGATAACATTTGATAATTATGACCGATAGATTTACATATCTTGAACAACAGCCAAAACCGGTTGTTCATACTTATGCGTAATGCTAATTCATTCTTATGCTTAATGCTTGTCTTGCTCAATCGCAAACAAGTCAATATCGAATACATCAGACAATTTCTTTACCTATTCCATTATTTTCTTAATCTAAATCTTAATATATTACAGGAATTACAGGACACATTTTTAAACAACGTTCGCTACTCCTTAACTAAGCACCGTTTTAATTTTATGTTGTCTTGTCACCAGGCGACTTCATGGAGTTCAGACGCGCGTACCCCGAGTGGTGTAGCGAGGCTGGCGCCCAGCACGTGCCTCATCTACCGCTAATGGGACTCCGGTACGTTTCAATAGTCGTAAACCGCCACGATGGTATATGCTTTTCTTTAGTCGCCTCCATGGACCTATGTGTAAGTTATAAGAGTTTAAGACAGACATACTAACAAGGACACTTGCCCGTTTTAATGTTTGTAATTAACATTAATTTTTACAGCACATGGACAACGAACTCAGAACTCGGTTGTGTATGATACACACATTTACACTACATCTTTGCTAAGGCTATCTTAACGCATTTTTTTAATATAACCAGCTGGTAAGCAAGCGGGTGGTTCGCTTTATGTTAAGTGATTATCTTCACCCATGAACATCTACAACTCTTAAATTCTGTTAAATTTTAAGGTTAAGTAAAAAATGTTTATGAATTGCCGATATAATAAGAAAATTAATTAACATATAATTAACATAATATAAAGTCAATACGACATCAATATTTACATAACTAGTACAAATACAAAACCATATTTAGTTAAAATAAAACCATATTTAGTGTTATAATAATACATTACATGTTAAACATCCCTTATGTTTTAAGCCAAGGCCTTCGATATTGATTTCTATCACGGCAAATAATACAATGAAAAGTCAGTGAATTTAGGTAAAATAAGAGAGGTTACTTTAAACTTAAGCCGCATGTTACATGTGGCCTTGTGTTAATTTAATTGTCTAACATAAATTCTGCTTTACTTGGATAGATACTTTTATTCTAAAATATGTATTCCCATTGTCTGATTTCATTATGCACCTCCAATTTGAATATATGAAAAGATAATGTAAACTGGATTTATAATAAGTTTGTTCAATTAGTTTCCAAGAAACTTCTTGAGTAAACAGCGAGGTGATGGTATTTTTGGTTAATAAATTATTCATAACAAATTTAATGCAAATAAAAGAAGTTAGTTAGAATTACTATCACCTGCTACCCGCGACTACCTCTGCGTAGAACAGGCTGAAGGCGTAACATTCAGACAGAAATACAGATATACATCAAATATGTATATAAATTATAGCCTATGTCTTATTCTGATGTATAAGCTATATTATTGTAAAGTTTCATTAAAATCCATTCAGCAGTATTTGCGTGAAAAAGTAACAAACTTCCATCCATACATACAAACTTTCGCCTTTATAATATTAATAAGGACTTACGAAATGGGCAATATCTGTAATATAATATTTACGAGTTCGCAGTGAATCATAATACGTTATTATTAATTACCCTATTATGATAACATAAGAAGTAGTCGCGTAACTTAAAATTTTAAAGTAACCTTAAGCTTTTTTAATTCATGTTTTTTTTTGTTGTTTTTAGTTTAAGTTGTATACTCAGAATTTTTATTGGGCTAAAATGTTATTGTGATGTTGCGTTGAGATCTTTTGCGGAAAATAGTTGGGCCACATATCGGCAGACTTAGCAAATTGGAATTATTAATGCATTTGCAATTCGAATAATGAGTAAGGTATCCGGGGGCACTCTTAAAATTATACAACTCGCGAACGGCGCATGCTCGCCGCCTTTTCACTAAAGAAAAAAAAATTGCAATGGACAGGCGCAGTCCGACTGCAGCTCTGTGGAATTTGTGTGATTCATTTTTAAACAACGCGACTCGTAACGCCAACTCACAGGCGTCTCCTGAGTTATGCATCTCTCCCATCGACGTATCGTAGATTACCCGACATGGCGTCGGCGATCGGGGAAGTTGAACCGAAGTGCACACAACGTCGTTATCCACCGGTAATTAATGTAATGGGACAACGCACGCGTGGGAAACTGTTTTCCTACGCGTGAGACCTCTTTTCTTCCCCTCCCTCCCCTATCGCCTCCGTGGCGGTACGTTGGATGAGAGCGGCCGTATGCGGTGGCTTTCGCCACATCGACGACCTTGCTCTGCCGGTACTCACATCAGCGTGGGTGGTACCGGCGGTGTCGTTTTGGGAAATCCATACATCATGACATCAACAGCTGTGGATCTTTTTGTTTTTTTTCACTCTGAGGCTTTCGCTTTCGCAACATTTATTGACCAATTAGAGACATGAATTTATGACTTTTTATGTGGTTTCGTAATTATTATACGTTAAACCTGCGTTTCTAGATCTGTACATAATTATGTTTATTGCCTAATATAACCAATTTATCAGTTAAGTAACTATTTTTTCGAAACGAAACGCGAAAGTTATTTTGAATGAACCTTAAAATTGGGTGTTCAATAAATCTAGATTTTCTAGTATGGAGGATTGTACGTCCCCACAATCTGCAATATGTCATCGATGAATCTAAGAACGTCATTCTTGTAAAGGTGTCTCAATCGAGTCCCTTGAACGGTAACATTTCGTCGTATTATCTGTACTAGTTGAGTTGAACTTTGAACGAAGTGGGCGCATGGTAAACAAACGTCTCCCCGTACCGAAGACGTGTAGGTATTATTACTCAATGAGAATATTATCAAGTTGTTCCACTGTACAGAGCTGACTCTGCCGCAACTAATTGACATTGTACGTGCCAATTGCCGGCCGATCTGCCTAATAGTGAGTCAATGTCGAACGGCTCATTCACGAGAATGGAGCGCATGGCCGCTCCTTTTAGTGCGCAACTGTCAATTGTAACGTAAGTATGCGCAATTAGTAGAGGCAGATAGTGTTTTACACCGTCCGGAGCGTTTGAGTCGACGTCGTTCGGTGTACGATCGTTACGATACCCTCTCGCGCTTGGCGCATTGCGGTGGCGGGGCCGCATTAAGAGCGCTCCGGTTAATAAACACATTCATCATTCGTTCGGAGTCAGCCGCGTCTCGGCGGCGTGGGCGACGCACGGCGCGCTGCCGTTCCACAACGGAGGCCCACCGTTCAATGGCGGCCCGCTCCATTCATGCACCATTCACTCCACTATGGCGCGTTGCAATTTCGCCTTTCTGTCGCGCCGTAATTACGTCGGCTCTTTTGTCAATGGTTGTGACGTTATCCAATCGTTTTGACGATTTTCAGCGATTTCCTTCCGCCCCTGGGTGGGCTGGCGTGGCGCGGTTCCCTTCGCTACCGTCGCGATATAAATAGCGCGATCGGAGGCGCCCACGCAACGCCGCCGGCAAACTGCGGGGTGCGGGTAGGCTAGGATCCTGCGCGATTGCTAAGACCACATCGATTCATTCGAACATCGCCCAACATCGATCTAAATTTAGACGCCGACATCTCGTGTTTCTTTCATATCGCCTACGTGAATCCCTAACAGTAAGCCTACGCATCAATCTATTATCGGAACGAGATACCTTAAAAAAGAAGGATAAGCTCCTTCTTAAATTTAAGCTTCGCTTAAGTTACTTGGACCTACTGTATATATCTATAACATGTAAACCCAAGGTTTATTGACCTCATCGAGTAATCTAATTTGAAGCTTTCATTTGAGCGTCTACTGTAATAGATGATGATTTACCCATGACGTCAGTTCCTCTACATAAAGGCCTCAGAAAGCCGTAATAACTAATAGGCGAGGAGTGGAGTATTTGCTAGCGTCAGTTTTTCCGTTTTAATACGATGTGATTGTTTTTAAGGCAAGTGTAAATAGGCTTGAGCTGCGCAAGTTTTCTCAGTACCTAAGAAAACATCAATACTTTCACGTTTAGGGTGGTAGTCAATTAGTGGGCAGTTTGTAAAATAGTAATAACAAAAAAAAATATTTGATTTATTTTCTTTCTAACTATTTCAGACCTGGTTAGCGTAGTTGGTTGTGAATCTTTCTCTTGCGCTAGAGAGTGTGGATTTGACCCCATACTAAAAAAATACTGTGTGATAAACACCGTATTATTCTAGTACCAGGTTGTTTACATATCGTATGCTATTATGTAATTATTTACTAAAGACATAATTATATTTCGAGTTACCTAGTACCCGCAGTACAAGCAAGCTTTGCTTGACAACAGAACCAAGCTTCTTATGTTTGTTTTGTTTAAGAACTCGGCGTGTGGCAGAAATCAGCAAAAGAAACACCATCGTGCATTGCAATACAAGGCACCCTTACAAAATATCAACACAATAATTTCGAGATACCTGATGAATGACTACTATACGAAAATTACGCCCTAGGGGGGGCCAGAGGTTATTAGGCAACCAGGTTAATTTAACAATCCCGCTACTTATGTAACGACTGACCACTGTTATTGTAGCATTAGGAACCCACAGAGCGAATGTTTTAGCAGAATATTAATAGTTCAATTATGGCTTCATACTTGTATATTTGTATAGCAGGGAAAACCACACTCCACGGTGTCTGACGTTATTCCCGGGGGTAAAAGGTTTATTAATGTTTAAACCGCAAACCTCGAAAGATATAGAATAGAATTAGTTTGGAATTATTAATCAAAAATAACCGCAATTCAACGTCATACAGTACCCTTGTTTGTGTTTGATTTTATTTGAGAGCCAGTCACGGTCCCCATTTATACTTTCGTTCAATTCGAACAACGATGATAAAATTGAAACGTTTAAACACACAGCTGCTCAATATCAGGTGTGTACTTACTACTTAGAGTTGCTCAGTACTTGACCATGGCTGGAAAGAGTATGAAACGTCCAGGAATTGTAAAAGAATCAAACGCACTAAAATCCTGAAATACGTTTTATTCAATTAGTGATCTGACGAGTTCATTATTGCATCATGCATCAGGATGCACTGAAAAAAAAATGTAGTAGTCATAGCAACGAAATCGACCGGGGTTGAGTTCATGCTTCGATTCATCGTGTTTCAAGAGCAAGCACTGACGTCAGTTTATGCCAAGGTCCATGATGTCCGATCTAAAGATGTAGCAACGTGAAAAGAGCTATGTGCGTCATTTTGATATGATGCGTACGCGGTTATTTTTAACTTCGATATTTTAGGATATCTGGACTCCTCGAAATTTTATTCTTTCGAAGTCCATAAACGCAAGATCAATGAGCTGATGGCAAAACGGCCGGAGCGGTCCCAAACTTTCCAACTGACAGTGCTGTGTCGTCCGTTTAATCATCATACGGGCCAAAAAAAATTGTATCTGCTGTATAGCTTTGCGAAACCTCTTGCGATACAATAATCATTCATATTGCAGCAGTCGTAAAAAGTAATCGAAGAGAAATGTTTTCGAATCGAATTTATTTATTTATAATATAGTCTTTTGTTTCGTTTATCATGGCAATAGATGCCGAATTATAACGCCCCGTGTGCCACCGCCCTTACGACAGTTATCGTTTGGCATGGCGTTCTCGCACGCGACGTCGGGTGCTACTGCGAAGTCGTTGACGTCAACGACCAGCGTCACCGCTCGTGTCCGCTGTTGCGCTAGCAGCCAGTGACATAACTCTTCGCGGCGCCAAGGTGGCTGTCATCTTTCTATATCTTCACATCTTTTTATCTAATAAGAGCAAATTTTGTTATAATGTTTTATACAGCTGACTGTCGTGTCATCATATGAGATTTATCAAGCAAAATATCCGTTCACTTCTGACTCCCGTTGTGTTCCTTAAATACCTCTCGTGCCATTCAAATTTCCCATAAATTACGCCAATAGTGGAAAGCGAAACTAAGCCGATTAAATGAGGTCACCGAGCAATGTACATGAATTAAAATTGGACGATAAGATAAGAAAACTGTATGGCAAGGTCATCATATGAAATAAAATGTAGTAAAAATACTAGGAAAGGAATTTTGATAACAACATAAAGAAAGAATTTAGTTAAGTGAATGTGTCCATGGACATCTAAACACCTGGCTGGTTGCAGATACGTTTCTGACCATTAATAATGTGCGTCTCTGTTATCTCACTCACCAGACCATAGTACTTTCACTTCATATCGGTCTCCGTTACAATTTTTATATAGGAAGATGAAATGAGCCGGTGGATCACCTGATTTAAAGTGATAACCACCGCCTATGGATTTGCCTGGAGCTCCCAGAACGAGCCGGCCTATTCGTAAAACAGCAGAAGCTGTAACGTTCATTTATAATAAAGGTATGCGAAGACGAAGCAAATGTTACAAAACGCATCCCATAAGTATAGTACCTCGTTGTGGCACTCTAAAGGGGGAGGCCTATGTTCAACAGTGGACGTCTTGCGGCTGATGATGAAGAAGTATAGTACCGATGTGAAAGGAACAGTGTAATGAAAGCTGAAATTATTGACCTCGAACACAGTTTGACCGTGTTATCTTAAACATCTCTAAAAGGAATTAGGGATACAGGAGCTAATGCGTAACAAGTGGGGGATTCGATACACTCCACTCGATTGCCCGACGCCCGAAAATGGACGGGCTATTTCTGTAGCCGCCGATGCGGATGTGCTCGGACCTGGTCGATCCATGTGTTTATAACATGCACACTATGACTCACAACAACTCACTGTTCTATCCAACTCCAACTTGTGCTGGCTCAGTGTACCAACTATTTTATGTTTCTAACTAATCAATCGCATGCTCAAGTTTGCATGAGCTCAGCACACCCAACTCAGTGTGTGTTAAACTCTTTCACTCTCCGATGTTATCAATGCGACGCTCCAATTTAAATAAAGCCTATTGATTAGGACTGTCCCTTGTGTCAAGGTTTTCTTGGCTTTGTGTGTGGTATACGACCCCTTTACAAGGTATCGATGAATAGTTCAAGTTGTGTGGAGTCTATTGATTAGGGCTGTCCCTTGTGTAAATGTTCCTATACAGCTTGAGGTCGACGAACCCTTCATGTTCCGAAGTAATCAATGGATTTCTCAATCTCAAGTATGGAGCCTACCTATTAGGGCTGCCCTTCGTGTCAATTTTCGTCCTTACATTTGCTTCTGTGCGGTGTGGCCTTGTGTACGTAGGTGGCAATCATGCCGATCTTGGCCGCAGGTTATCGTCGGCGACTTCTTGACGTCACGTGGTGACGTCAGAGTTCGATCGTGAGTTCATTCACGAATATACCCAAGCACGGCCGCTGCACGCTTTAGTTTTATCCCCGGTCGCTAGGGTTGCCAAAATATATTTACGAAAACATATGTTATCAAACAACACGGGGAAGAATAACAGTCGACCATGAAGTGCATGCATGAGTTTCTTTGATATCGCGCAATAATTTTGTATTGGGCGTTGAACGACCAATGATCGATTACAAATTATTCTTATTTCCATTTGTCTAAAATGTAAATATCTATACGGGTAGTTTCGAAATCTTAACGGCACATACAAAATCTTTCTCATCTTTTATGAAAGAAGAACGATGAACCTTACTTGCTACACATTTGCAGGCAACATTACCTTGTAATTGAGGAAAATATTAATTTTGATGAGCTAATGCAATTATTAATTAATAAAATATGACGAATCTCTATTTATAAAATTTAACTCAAGTGGAATTTTGACTTAATCAGTTTGGTTGAATTTTCCTGTTCGCTTTTACTAATTAGTATCGGTATGAGTGTTACGAGCATGATATAGTTCAGTGTCCGAGCGATAGTTTTTAATTACATATACTCGAGCAACACTAGTTCAACTCTCGGCGCCGACAATGAAATTGTTAATTGAAATTTTAAGAGCTGACTTATCACCATGCGCAGCGGTCGAAGTAATGACAAAAAAAAATATTAGTGAGATATGTGAAGTCTACCAATATGCAGCGGGGTCGCATGGTGGACTATAACCGGATACCCTTTGTGTAGTGGAGGCCTTTGCTCAGCAATGGGACATATTATATAGGCTTTACTATTTTAATTTGGTTCAGTGCACTCGTGCCTAAAATCGATCAAGTAAACCGGCCTTTCCTTCTTCAACGCTATCGATACCGTGTATTTACTCTTTAGAGATTGTTAAACTTCACCGTATCTATCTGCAATTTGTCTACTGCATAAAAGGCCCGTCGTCTGTCAAGAAGCTAAATCTTAAGAATACTCCATCCTTGTTCTATGTTCACCCGTACGTGGTTTCCATAAGGGGCTCGGAAGGAATCAAAAAATTCTAGAAACGTCGCTCAACATCTGTGCATCACCCCTACCGGATAAACATCAATGAAGACTCCCCACCCCGAATAGCGGTGACTCAACGCGCGAGTCACGATCGAAATAAAATCGACCGCGCTTCCAAAAATATTGGTGGCCGCCTCACGCGAAATGTTAACTTGAAACGTATGCGTTTGCGTCTTCTCACGCGGCTATTACGGTATGTGGAATCATCAGAGGACGCCTTTGAGGTTTTTTTGTAATTGTTGCATCATTTATTTCAATTATTTCGTTTCCAATTTGAAAGAAATGGACCTAAACTTCCCTTCTTTTCAAGGGCGATCTCTGACAAAAAAAAATCCTTAGTATAAAAGTTGGCACTGAAAATGGAAAAATATATTACATGCCAACTAAAAATAGCTAAGGGATTATCTCGTACCCATACATCATATATCATAAAGCTTCCCGTCGAATAGCTTTGTGAGTCTTTATTCTTAATACCGTAGATTTTTTATGTAAAATGTACTTGAATACTGTAAATTTTCGTATCATTCCTTAAATTGCTGACAAATATATTAGCTTTAGAAAGCACAGTATTGACAGTATTTGTCCAATAAAATGAATATGAATGGTTTTCACATTTTTTAACCGACTTCAAAAAAAAACGGTCAAGCCCGAGTCGAACTTGTGCGCATCAATTAAAGGATGTCCCTCTTTTAATTTTCAACTTTTTTAATATACCTACCCTTATAAGATCACTCTCTTCGTCCGTCTGTCTGTCCGTGTGTCACCACCGATTTTCTCAGGAACGGTTTTCGCGAAAAGCTGTAAGTACCGTTTTACCTTTATTTTTAACTCTTTTATTTTTCGGAATTTTTCCTTTACTTCTACTGTAAGACCTTACTTTTAACCAAAATTGACAATTCTAAGCCAACCGGAAGTAATGTTTTGGGTAGAAGAGATCGAGCCGTTTTGCAATATCGCCTCTTCCATTCCAAGACGCACTAGCCGCCAACAGAAAATCAAGTATGCTCTTAACCAAACCTTCGTGGTCGTCTAACCTCGACACACATGCTAAATAAGCGATGGCCGCTTCCTACGTACTTTTAACTTAACGTCCCGCCTCGTCGACCAAGTGTTTTATCCAGCTTTCAAAGACATTCCATTCGCTAAAAAAAATAAAAATCAGGATTGGATGCAGACGCCTTTTTATAAAGTGGGCTCCGGGTACCTCACTCACCAGACGAATCGTAGAAGTATTATAACACTTCCTCTTTACGCCGGTCTTTTGTAGGGTCTTGGAACTTGCCCGGATGGACCTGTCCATTGGTGCGTCAGCGAGGATTGTTGCGTGGCCTATCACAGTTAGTCCAAGAAGATAACATAGACCTTAGTATTAGAAAACGACCTCAGTGCTAGCTCAGTGACTGGGTGTTCGCTATGAACTCGGTATACTCCAGAAACACGAGTTCAAATCCCAGTGTCGACATGAAAGAAATTTAATGTGCAATTGTAACTGCTGATCTATCACGTTCACGGAGGTGAGGGAAAATGTCGAAGAAAACCTGTCTGAAAATAATTTTGAAATAACGATTTAAAAAAGAATTCGATTTATTTGAAGGCCAATCCAAAGACCTCACATGACCTCTTAGCCTCTTACCCACTTCATACCCTCTGTTCAGCGGAAATTTTGTCATCAGCAGCGCATATGTAGGCTGCTACTTAAGTTTGAAATAAATTGCAATAAAATTGTTTTCTTAAAAACATTGCTACGTTGTTAGCTCATGTTATGCATTAATACAGGTATTAACGCTCTCCATAAATCAATTTGATGGACGTCGCCCGCGAAACGTCCTCATCGACCCGGTCGACGAAGAGGACTTTGATACGATGGACCCACCGCCGGGGGTCCCGCCGGATAACACTACACCCACAGTTAGTGTAACAACAATCACACCAGTTCGCCCTCGCCTCCGAGCACGGCGAGACCCACACAACGCGTACACAAGATACAACCGCGTTCCGGGGCGGTTTTCACCGCTCCTAGCCACCGATTAGCTAAATGCACAGTCGACGGCCGTCGGGGTCTCGGTCCGAACCGCGATCTCGACGGCCCTTAGATGACACACCATAATTAAACGCACGCATGAGCACATGCGCGACCCTACCCATAGCGGAGGGTCCTAAACCGGAGGTTCTGGCTAGCCCACCGGTTCTGCGTCGGATGAAGCTTTAATAGTCTCGGCACTGAAAGCAAAAACATCAGTTAATACAAGATTTGATGGAACGACTATCAACGACATCCGTATGAAACAGCATAGATATCGGAATAGGGACAGCCTTTGTAATTGCAATAGGTTGACGATATAATCACGACTTGACACATTGTGGTTAGTGTGACCGTGGTTTTTAAATAAAACCGACTTCTAGAAACGTAGAAAATTAAATCAAGAGTCGCCATTTGGCACCCTGGTATATAGTGTACAGAGAAGCAACTGAGACAACCCTAATTAAAAGGACATTTTATTTTATGAATAATTTGGGGATGATGATGTATGGAAATGTCTTGGCACTTGCATGGAATTAAAAAATATTATGTACAAATAAATTTTGTCGGTAATTTCTGTAGACAGGTGTGAAAAAAAAAAAGTGAAAAACCTGTGCTACTTTTCGACGCACACGGGAACTCGGAACGAGTCTAAATTGAATAGAGGAGTTTCGACTTTGCAGCTCGTGTGCGAGTGACGTCACGAGGTCAGTTAAGTCCCGACAGGACGGCGGGCGTTAAAAAAGCGTCCCCGGCGGGCGGTCGTTGGCAGCGGCGGGCCCGGGCCGCATTCCTGTGCGGCGGAGCACCGCGCGCCCACACCCGCGTCCCCACGCGTTGCAACACGGCCGAGTTGTGGGGCACCGTCGCCTCCTCGGCCGCGGTGCCGTCCGTCGGGCATCGCCAATCGGTCGGTTGCTTAGAGCGCATGAGAAGTGCCTTCATTAATAACGCGGGCGGCAGCGGCCCGGCTTCCTGCCGCCGCCGTTCAAATACAAATTGGATTCGCGCGAAGTCGACGCGGCATTGTCACACGACGCAAGCGGTGTGCAAGCCGAGAACAGACCAAACGGCCAAAACCCGTGGGTTCTGGCTAGCCCACCGGTTCTGCGTCAGTTGAAGCTTTAATAGTCTCGGGACTGAAAGCAAAAACACCAGTTAATACAAAAAGCCGAGAACACGAGACGACACCCCTCGTAAGACACGAGCCGAGCCGAGATCTCACGATATACGCAACGCTTCACTTAACCATTACTTAATAATCAAATCGCTAATGAAACTTGCGGCATTACATTACAAATCGAATTGCGAAATCAGAGTGTTATGTCTCGTTGGAGCGAGACTGTTCATACTTACAGATTAAGCCATCGCATCTTATATCATTGAAAATAAAACTTGACCGACTGAGAACAACATAAACACCATTTTTATCCGCGTAATCTTGTACGCTGGATTACCGCTAATTTCGTGTCTTATAATTTCTATTTATCGCATCCGATGAAAAGATTTCAAAGACATTATCTATACACGCTACCACCTCGTAGAAATTATGAATCAAATTAAGCAGGATACTCCGAATGCATATATGTATAAACATAGTCACAATGATAGTAGGTATCACATTATATTAACGAAAAAAAACGACTTCAAATATCTTATTAATAATTTTCTATTTGATTTTGAGGAGTTCCCTGATGTGTCTACGGAGGCCAATATGTCGTAAAGTCGTTTTAAAAAGATGTTCAGCATGCCGCGGTGATAAACAAAAGCCACCCCACAGGTCCCATTAGCATTTAACGCGATGGCATCGCTGTATGGAATTCGCTAGTGAACTCATCGTATCGCGCTCGGCCACGCGACACGCAGCTGACACAGCACCCCTGGACGACCTTAGACCGCCAGAAGCGTAGGTGACATCTGCGGAACGTCACCCACGCTGAAACGTACCTTCGTCACGATAATCAGATCGGCCCGCGCGTGGGCGGCCTGCCTACACCACCTACGCACCTGTTAATAAATGGCCGACGCCCGGCGTTCCGTGCGATGGCGATTTACTTTTCAAACGACTTCGAAAAAGGATGTTTTAAATTCGTTTGCGTGTTTTCTCTTTGTTTGTTACCTTCTGAACTCGATCTTTTATGAACCGAGACATTCTTTTTGCATTGGGTTCGGTTTAACTCCCATGTGTTCCTACGCTAATTTCATCGGTACCTTTGACTGCGGAGGATAATCCGGAACTCACCAAAATGTAATAGAAAATGTGAGATATTTGAAATCGTTTTTTTTTTTTCGTTAGTAAAAATGTTGTTACTTGTTTCTTCTTACCTTTTAGAAACACTCGCACCCGTGCCCACAACTCGAGGAAGGGATGACTTGTGTAAACCTAACCCGTCTAATATTATATATCAGTCAGGTACTGTGCGCAGGAATAGTGATGTGTTAATTAAGATTATATTCTCCATTCGAAATTTCATTCAACATTCCACGTTTTGCGACGTGAAAGGAAACATACACACGCAATTAACGCGGTCAGATTTTGGCGCGATAGATAAATGGAATGAATGGAATTTCCCGTGAGGCTGTGAAGCTCACGCGCTGGCCCCACCGGACGTCTCGGTTTTCCTCGACACATTTATGTTTATCGCATAGTAGTCGAACGCTTTGAATTCGTCTGTTTTTTTTTATGTTTGTTCAACGACATTTCTTCACTGCGCTGGCCGATTTGTTTTTTTTTTTTTTTTGGTTGACGTTTTCATAAGATCCGATGATGTTCGTTTTTTATTTTGATTCAATTTACCAAGTCAATGGAACACGAGTCGGTTTCTTTTTTGATCTTTTATTATGTGTTGTGGCCGTTTTTTTTTTTTTTTTTTTGGAAGTTGTTTCTTTTAAATTACTTTACTTTATTCTTATCATGCAATAACTAATGTGATACACAAACTAACTTCTAAAACTGAATGTAAATATTGAAGTATTAGTTATTATTAACATTTCATCGCACTGTTTGAGAATTACGAGCTCTGTGTTTGATGAAACTACGGAATAAGCAAAACCACGTCAGTTAAAGTAAGTAATTTATAATTACTCTAAGACAGGATTTGACGTCGTGTCTCGAAAGTTTGATTGCGGTTTTATAACATTTTAATGCTCAAAACCTTATGTCAGTAATCATTACATAAGCAATAGAAAAACTTGTAGAAAAACCGACTAGCCGTTGGTTCTAAGAACGCTTTTATCGTAAGTTCTTCGAAGTACCAGGAGGCACCATAGCTAACAGCCAAAGTTTCAGCGAATTGGTTTGAATCAAACAAAGATCTTATAATTGATGATACAGGTTCTTTTTAGTTCACTTTCACAACAACCATTCATATGTTTCATAGAAAATTTGAAGAAATTCATTACGACGTGACCTGTGTATATTGTCGAAGTTGAGCTATGAATTCGTTCGCAAACACGACATCCCCTGTCCGCGCAAAAGTGTCAACGTATGAATATCCACAACAGGCGTGTGGGCGAGACGTTTTCAATTGGGTTCGGGCATAATCAGGTTGTTTTCAAAACAAGCTGAATGACGAAGGCGACGGGACCGCTTGATTGAGACGGCGGATTTCGGTGAGCGTCGCGTGGGTGGAGACGCGTTGGCGTCGTCGCCGGGGGAGGGCGCACTGCGGGGCGCAGGGGGAGGGGATGATTCTAGTAAGGCCGCCGTGTGGGCGGCCATTGATCCACGGGGGCAGGTGAATGGTGTCCCCCCTCAGCCCCCTCCTCCCCCGCCCATCCCTCATTGAAGCGGCCACGCGATCGATCGCCGCCCCCGCGCCCTCCTAGTTTCGCTGCACACGAACAATCCGACGTGTTGGGGACGCCCACGCGGGCACATTCCGTCTTCTTGCGGAGGCACCAGATGCGGACCTCGTACGAGATTAGGACCCCGTGAGCGCGCCGCGGCGGGCCCCATTTGAGAGGACGCGTGGGCGGCCATATTGCTCGTGCGGCGCGCCCGTTCGGTGGGCGATACCTCGGAACGGAGGCGAATTGGCAAATACGGGTGTCATAATGGCCTCATTGTATGGCCGTTCTATTTTTAAAGGCCCCACAAAGGGCCTGCAGTGGCAAAAGAGCGTCGAGACCGGACGGCTTCTCAAGCGCTCGGTCTCCTTATGGTTTACGGCTTTATCCGTTTCATTTGTTTCCACGTGAAATGTTTCACATTACATAGTTATTACGAGAAATTGTATTTGCTCGTACTTGTTTTGCCTGGTCCGTTAGGCTAATTTCTGTCCGTTAGGGCTGTCAACACTTGTTGGATGATAACATCGTTTCATAACTACGCAAAAATTTTCTTAATTTAACGCAAGTACTGATTATGTGACTTCCGATGTTTCGAATATTTTACAGCGTTTATGTTCACGGGACGTACTCAGTTGTAGCTCCACCTCGATAATTATTAATTTCAGTCCGGACCAGACAGCCATCTGCAAAATTAATTGTCTATACTATTATACCCGTGAAGAATAGAAGCGTGATAGCTCAGTGTCGGGGCGCTCGCCTTTAATTCAATATACTCGAGTAACCTGAGTTCGATCCCGGTGCCGGCACCAATAAAATTCTTAATTTCAAGTGCTGAAATATCACGTGCTGTGTGGTGAAGGAAAACATCGTGAGGAAACCTGAATATTTTCGAAATAATAATAAAAAAAAAATTTCGAAGATATGTGAAGTCCGCCAATCCGCAGTGGGGCTGCGTGGTGGACTATACCCTGATACACTCTGTACAGAGGAGGCCTTTGCCCAGCACTGGGACTGTATAGGCGGATACTTTACTTTTTTTACTATTAGACCACATCATCATTAAGTATAGAAGTTTTTTAATTAAGTGTAGCTCATAATAAAAAAAACGAGTTTTGTATAGGATTCGAAGCCCGCGACCAATTGTTTAGATTAAGGACCTACTGGTAACAGCGGGTTACGGTCCCACAGTAAACTTCTCGAGTATGAAGTATGAATATTTGTCTGTAAACCATAATAGCATAAATAGGTATATAATGAAACCCTACACGATGGGTTACTTTAATGGAATTTCTACTTGCGTTAAAGGAAAATGTAGCTTTTCCTCATCGTAAAGTTTACGCTCCCGGAAAAATGTAGGCAAGCTCCAGGAAATCACTTAATTAAGTGATTTCCTAGAGCTTCGCACCGGCTTTACGAGTTAATAAAACTGCGAAGGTCCCGTGGACCGGTCTTCTGACTCTCTATTCGACTCCCAGTAGGGTACGCTAATGAGTTTTAAGTTTACTTCCTTCTGTCTGTTCAAAAACCAACACCTAAAAATTATGATCAATATGTAAGCTCCTGTCGCGTTCTGTAACACAAAAGTTTCTTAAACCGTACAGTTGAATACCGTTGAGTTGAATACCAGAAAATGTCTCTGAATATCCCATTGGGCTTAAAAGCCGTGAGCCGTAAGCTAAAAGCTCTTTTTTTTACTTTACCAAATGTATTCAACAGATGTGTGACATTCAGGTGAAGTTAAAAAATCATTATCTCTTTCTTTATATTAGAAAGATGATAAATAACTTACACCAAACGGAAACCGCACGTCGCTGTTCGGTTTCCGTTCCTTGTTCTATAAAAATTCCTGTTAATATAATTTTTTTCCATTGACTCCAAACTAATTTTTTATTTAACAATTCCTCTAAGCTATAAATACGCACGAACGCGGGTAGAATAACAACGTACCCCGAGTTGTTTCGAGCTCCGATTGTACAATTTCGTAATAACAAATTATAGACTCGGATAAGTTACGCAAATTTCGTAATTGGATGGTGATAACATATTATAGACTCTGTAAGTTACAAGTTAAGTGACAAAAGCTTTTTGGGTTCACTGCTCACGTCCGATTTTATCGCTATCTAAGTCATCGGCGAGAATGCTTTGGAAGAATGAATTGCAGTACATCATGTTATATGTCACCACCTGTTATATGGACCAACATATACATTTATTGTACAAAAATTACTACAAATACTTTTGATGTTTGTTCGCTTTGATATCTCACCATAGTGTGGCCGTATATTCGCCGCTCTAATCTCTTTTTTTTTTTAAATTCCATCATATTATAAAGAAATCACGTTAGGTTGGGCTGGACACACGCTAGTGGATGGTCGTGACGTACTTTCCCAGAAGTTATTGGGAATTAAAACATGTAAGGAAGAATGATTTACATTTTGTAGAAGGTGGCAAGAAAGCAGGTGGGTGCAGTGATGTTAGATGTGCATAATGCTGGCTGTAAAATGTGTGGGCCCCGGTTACTTCTCTCGTTAGACAAACTGCAGTAGTAAAAATTCTTCCACTATATGTCGATCACCTCAGCATACGATGTTAAGTGATAACCGCCGCCCACGGTCATCTACAGCACTTGATATATTGTAAATGCGCGGCCAACTCTTTAAAAAAAATGGGCGCCTATCACCTCCCTCACTAGAAGAAACCCGAAAGTAAAATACTTCAGCTTCACGGCGGTATTCTGTAAGGGCTGTACGGGGGAAGTCCCCGTAGACCCAGCCAACTCATGCATCAGCAGTAGCTGCAGCTTGACTCTATCATAGTAGGCAGTAGATAATATCTTATTAAATTAAACTATATTTACGAACTTATCACGTTTATTTTTAAATTCGATTTCCCGAAGGTTCGAGCCCATTACAGCGTTCATGATCACGGGACAGACTTAGGCGTTGGACGTCCAAATTTTGTAGTTAACCTGGGCTACCGTCAGTTTTTAAATTATTAATTTTGTATTCGATCTACGCAGAATGAGCTAATTTTATCTTGTCTTGAAGTAGTGGTTTATTTGGGCGTAGATTTAATCCTATTGACAATAGGATCCCACGTTGATGGTAACACCCAACCCCCTTCTTTATTGAAATTAGGGTGTTTTTAAATTTCAATAGCTTGGCGAATCATCCTTGGCAGGAATCGGTGTTCTTTTGCCAGGATATGTGGCCTTTCAAACCTGATATAATGGTTGGGGCGGTTTAGGGTGTGCTCATAGACTGTAGACTTGTCTAATCTATTATGTTTTAAGACAGCTTTATGTTCCTTCAGGCGGCTCTTTTAATTTGACCTACGTAATAGAGCTCACTTTTCAGAAATTGTCAAATATCATCTCTCTCTCTCTCTCTTCCAGTTCTCTGCGTATCTCTGGCTCCGGCTGCGAGGAGGCATTGTCCTCGGGCTCCTCGTCAGAGTGCGAGGACACGCACACGCACGCCCAGCAGGAGTTCCCGATAGAGATCCTGCCCAACCTCTACCTCGGCAACTCCACCAACAGCGAGGATTGCGACGCGCTCGCCAGGCACAACATCAAGGTACGATGCGCACTTGACGAAGTCTCCTCCTTTTGAGTAATGAACAATTTCAAATATATTCATTCAATATAGAAGCGTTACACTTTTTGATTGTCAAAAAACAAAATAAAGTTTTGTATTGATTGTACAAAACTGTATCCGTTTCTGCGACAAATTGCAACTTATACAACAATTCTAACTCGCAGTTTCTACACTTGACAACATTTTCTTCGGCCTACACTGCTTTAACAGTCTCATTTAAAACACGTCAATTAGATTATACTAACTAATGCAGTGCAAGTTGATTGTTAAATTCATGTGTGTGCCCAGTGGAATTTCACTAAGACTAAATTTCATGATCGAAATATGAAGGGCAGCCCTTAACTGAATACGGATTATTACACCAAATATTATTACACCTTAACTTTTTCGACACCTTGATATTTCATTTAATCTAATAACATTGCATGTCCTTTCAATAAATTGTGGGCAAGAAATCGATTTCGTGCCAGGTTTGAATATTGATATTTCAGTAGTAATGTGCATGCCAAAAATCGGTTCTTAATTGGCGTAGTTCTGAGGTAACAAACATAATAAAAAAAAACCTACAACCGAATTAAGAACCTCCTTTTTGATGTCGGTTGAAAAATTAATTTAAGGGTGTTGTATTATTTCGAATGTTAAAATCTTACACCAGTTCACAATTACAGAAGCTCATCGATTGCCACTAAACTAATATTAAATCAGTTCCTTTGAAAAGTTCAGTTAATAATAATCCAGTTGCGGTAGCTGTTGGCGCCTCCGAGTGCGGCCATAATATCAATTAATTGATCCATCGAAGACTTCATCTTGAATATAAACGGAGTAGCAGTAGTTAAAAGACAGCCAATTACATCGTCATTTATAGAAATACATTATGATGGATACAATAGCGTGCGTATAATATATTAGATTCCGAGGGCGGGATGATAAGTAACTAGCCTAATAAGAAAACACTTAACTTTCCGTGATAAAATTAATTTTATTTTTCGACATACTCTCCGTGAACCGCTACACACTTATTCCATCTTCGTTCTAAAGCAGTAATGCCTTCCAGAAAATGATTTCTTTCGAGGCCTGCAAAATTGTGAACCCTAGCGTTGTCTTGGTGGAAGATGTTTTTTTTTTTCACCAAACCTGGTCGTTTTTGCTGAATACATTGATGAAGCTTAGCAAGAAGATTAGCGTAGTATTCACCATTAATTGTTTGACCTTTAGCAAGGTAATCTATCATCAAAATCCCATCTGCATCCCAAAAGACGGAAGCCATCACTTTTCCAGCCGACTTTACAGCCATGGCTTTTTTTGGAGCCGGGCATCCCGATTGAGTCCATTGTTTTGATTGAATTTTTGATTCTGGCGTGTAATGATGAACCCATGTTTCATCTGTTGTTACAAATCGACGTAAAAAATCGGCCTTATTACTCTGAAAACGGTCCAGACATTCTTTTGAGTTTTGCACCCGAATCTTTTTTGATCGTGCGTAAGCAATCGCGGCACCCAACGGGCCGATAACTTTTTCATATTTAATTCCTCACTTAGGATATGATGTACCCGTTCTTTTGAGATACCTGTAGTGTCAGCTATTTCAGATAACTTCAATCATCGATCTGCTAAAACCATATCATGTACTTTCACGACCATTTCCGGAGTCGTAACGCTTTTTGGACGTCCGGGGCGGACTTCATCTTGGACACATGTACGACCGCGTTTAAACTCAGCCACCCAGTTTTTTACTGTGGCATAAGAAAGAGCATATTCACCCAAAACATTCTTTAACTCGTCATAGATATCTTTCGCCTTCATCCCCTTCATATGAAGAAACTTTATCACCGCTCTTTGTTCAATTTTATCCATTTTGAAAATAGTTGACGAAATATATTTTCAAATGACAAAAAAACAATAAAATTTTCACGCCACCTAATTCAAATTTAGAACACAGGTGGCCAGAGATACGAATTTAAAAATGACATATATATTTTTTTAATTTTAACTTTTTAAATAGCAATGGCTAGTTACTTATCATCCCGCCTACGTAGATTAATTAAAGAACCCTAGACTCGGACACATAATTGCTGTTCGAACATGTATCGAGATCGTGCCGCTTCCAGGGCTATTTCCATCCATCCAATCAGCCTTTTGCAGTGCACTGGACATAGGCCTCCCCAAGGGCCAGCGACCTTTCTCAGGGCTATTTATTTGAACTTAATTCCTACACGCTCTTCTATCTCTGCGCATATCCCTCTCCTTTCTTGTTTTCCAACAATTCCGCATAGCGACGCTCCTATCGCTTGCCGCATCGAGCCCACTTCTGGACACCCCACTCGGTTGCACTTAAGCGCCTCTTCAAGACATACTCGTTTCGGTGCTTGAGGGCTTTTACGTGACGAACGCGAACTGATAGTTTGAGTAATAGAATAAAAAAGCAATAGATGCGCCCACCACTCGGCGCCTTGTGTGTCAAGGGCCCACTCTGCTAGGCGTGTATTAGTTTCTCTCTCGCATCAACATCGAAAATTGTTATGGACCAAACTCGGCCGCATCACTTAATTTTTCTTATCAGTCGTAAAACTTATTAATAGGACACAAAAGCACCCTACAACAGCAGTTTTTTCTTTATGTTAGAGATTTTCAATCGCCGCTTACCATTCAAATGAAGAACTCTCTTAAGTATAAATTTATTGAAAGAAATCAGTGAAAAATTTAAAGAAACGTGGTATTTACACCCGTACTTATATTGTTTTAACAATTGTAATCTCAGTATAATTTGCGTTTAAAACAGTAGACGAAAAATCAGTGTTCCACGCAAACTTTGTTGACATTCATTGATAAAATTCGGCACCAATTTATCATAATCGTATTGTTTGTAGTCGAAAACAGCAAAAATTGTGTATTACCAATGATATTTAATACCTTATGATAATTTTATTATTGTTATATGCTAGCACTTTATAAACAAGCATAGATACATTCATACATAGTGTGTTTCCATTGTTCCAAACGCCAATGTTTCCATTCCAGTACGTGCTGAACGTAACGCCGGACCTGCCCAACACCTTCGAAGCCGAGGGCTGCGGGATCAACTACCTGAAGATCCCAATCGCCGACCACTGGAGTCAGAATCTCGCCGTGCACTTCCCGCAGGCGATACGCTTCATAGGTACGTTTGTAGCTGTCAACCTTTTTTCTCCATATTTTTTAATGTGAAAAGTTGCCAAGCGAGCAGGCGGTTCACCTGATGTTAAGTGAATACCGCCGCCCATGGACATCTGCTACACCCGAGGGTTGCAGATGCGTTGACAACCTTATGAAAATTTGGCTTCGGCTACCTCACTCACCAGACGAAACGCGAAAGTATTATACTTTCACTTCACGCCGGTCTTCTGTGAGGTCGTGGTACTTACCCGGACGAGCCTGCCCATTCGTGCAACAGCCGAGGCTGCTACATGGCCCCACGATAAAACGTCCTTCGGACTAGATTGTCAAGTTTTTTAACAGTGAAGAGGAATTTTACTTAAATAATATATGTATTTCTCACTGGAGACTGAACGTTTAGAGTCGGCATGATAATTTCTTTGTCCATTATCTCTACATAAAGTCTTTACGCTTTTAGACCTATTGACATAATTAGTATAGATCGTAACCACAACGCAGATATGAATGTATTTGTTTATCCCTAGCCAGATTTGACATATGACATAAGTAATCGGTATTTCTATGACCTGCTGATTAGGACTGAATGCATGCCTAATTATGTTCTTGCTTAAACTAGCTTAGTCCAATGTTGCAAATTTTATAAGGACGAAAAAACTTGCTCGAAAGCAGAACAACACAAATAGTAAAATAAATGTAGCTTCTAGGACTTGGCATCTCAATAAGTTTCTTTTCCTGAGTGTGATGTATAACAAAATGAAAGTAAAGTAATAAATTTATTTCGTCGAAAAACTATAAAGCAATAATGTAATAAAGTGGACACTCGGATGCGATTGCATAAAAGCAATATGGTTACGTAACTTGTTCTCAATATGTTCTGATATAAATGCATAAGGCATACTCAATTACTCATCCTCAAGGTGACTGTGTCTTAATGTCGATAATGTATGACGTCCACCGAGAAGATAAAATTCCATTGTTTGTTCTCGGCGAACCATTATCCGGCTATATACCTAACACACTTATTGTAGTTCACATTATCGTTTAACTAAATAAATTTAACCAACGGGAAGGAAGCGGGGTCGAAAAATCTACAAAATCGACTCGCGTAATTAATGGTCGATGTTCACCTCAATAAAGATGGTATTATCGAAAAGTGACTTCCGATTTACCTTCGTATTATGTCACGTACATATTTGCAAGTTTAGAAACAGTTATTACCGTACTCTGATTCTTATTACCGTAAACGAATATGTGTTTTCATTTAAATTCAATCAATTTTGAACGCTATGATGGAGTAATGCTTTAAGCGGGGTCTACAAGTAATAAGATAAGAGGATATCACGCTGCACGACACATCACTGTCTTTAGGCAATCACTGCGTCCATCGGTTACATAAATAGATACATATAAAATGCTGAGATTTTCACTCTTACCAATAATTTACTAAGTCTTAATACATACTATGAATACGATCGTATATACTAGCGAATAAATTCGTCGCCCTCTGTGCCCAATCTGGTATAAATACTAATAAAGTGATAGCCCGAGCCGAGGCTTCCTCGGGAGTCCTCTAGCTTAGTCATTAATAAACGAGGTTCATGCCAGGCGTCCTTAGCGTCGTCCGGCCAACTCAATCCCGGTGGATTCGTAAGGGCCAACCGTGAACGAACCAATCAAAACAAAAATATAATATTAAAATGTGTAGAAAAAATTACGAAAAGTTTCACGCCACTGTGCTAATCGAACCCAAGTTTTCGGGATTCGCAACCAGACGCTTTAACCACTGATTGCCACACCGACGAAAATCTGAACTTATTTTATCTACATTATTTTTCCGCATGTCAAGCAGTGCTTGGCGCAACCATTGTTGCACCCTTTACAGCGAACAAATAATTTCGAATGTCTTCTTACAATGATAATTCGAACGAGATATTTTTATTTCATTTTATTTCATTAGGGATAACAAACGGCTACACGATACGGATATAAACAGAAAAACTGCTGCATGCTGCATATGATGTAGTAGTAATATTGCAGCCCTCTACCATCATCCGCAAAACGCGCGTGAGATGTCGCCATTGCTAACATAAATGATGTTCTGGAAAATTTTTACGAAAAAAAAAACAATAATAAAAAAAACCTTTTTGTCAGTGGCATATGCGCAAACCGCGTGATGCCAAATTAAAAAAAAAATAAAATAAAAAAAGAACCGTGTCCACAGAGGAGGCGATGTCGGCGCGCTGCGGGGTGCTGGTGCACTGCGTGGCGGGCGTCTCGCGCTCGGTGACGGTCACGCTCGCGTACCTGATGCAGCGCCACCGGCTGTGCCTGCGCGACGCGTTCGAGCTGGTGCGCAGCCGGAAGACCGACATCGCGCCCAACTTCCACTTCATGCGGCAGCTGCACTCGTTCGAGCGCGACCTCGGCCTCCACGAGCACAGCGCCAGCCTGAGTAAGGTCTGTTTGTGTACTACGCCTCCGGTCGCGAACCACACGCGTGCGTATGCGCGGTCCTAAACGGTGCGTCGCGCTTCGACACCGCCCTAAGCGCTGCACCTCGCCTGTACGCTGTCCTAATAATAATTATAGTTTTTAACAAAAATAACCGACTTCAAACAAGAAGCTAATAATAACATTGTCAATACGTATAACATTTGAGAATTGGCCTCGATTTCTCTGGGATGCCATCATTAGCTCCGGGTTTCCTTATTATGGTACAACCCTTGGGATATCTCCTCGTCAACAAAAAAAAGAATTATCAAAATTGGTTCATAAACGACTACGTTATTCGACACACATAAAAAATATACGGTCGAATTGAGAAACCTTCTTTTTTGAAGTCGATTAAAAACTTTGCGCTTCAACTACACACCATCCTAAACAATGCGCCTCGCCTTAACACTGCCCTAAGCGCTGCACTTCGTCTGTACGCTGTCCTAGAAACATTGCGCTTCAACTACACACCGTCCTAAACACTGCGCTTTACCAACACACTGTCCTAAGCACTGCGCTTCACACACTGTCCTAAAAACCATGTTTCAAGATCTATCCTCAATATCTCCTGAATAAATGCTATGCCTAAAAAAAACAACAACAGTACTAAATGTAAACTTAATCTTTATAAAGAAATGTACAGGAAAATGAAGAGTCACAATGCGTTACCTGAATAAAAATAAAAGGCATACCATTATTTTGACGTCAAAACTTAACCAATTTCTACTACGAGGGTACTAAAATAATGGAAACGATTAACTAAATAATAAATAACTGTAAAAATAATATTAAAAATAATCAATTAAATCCAAATTTGTATTATATTTATGTAGACTTAGTAATGTTGTGATTCTTGCTTAAAGTTTTATGATTTAACTATAATTATTAGTATGAGCTTTGAATGATTTAATTATAGTTTAGATTTAGTTAGGGATGTAAAATCAGATGTAAATACATTTTTTTAAATTTGAACGAAAATCGGTTGAATACACAGCACTTTATACAATATCGTTATAAGAATATATAATAAGTATACGACACACTGCGTTTTAGAAACTATACTAGATACTGCGCTCTGCTAACATTTGTGTCACAATTATCAGCGTAATGCTGCCTTCGAACGATCCTAAAATAACGCAATGCCTCCTGACCTGGATATTAAAACTAGCTAACCCGTGGGTTTTGCGGTAACTTTAACTTAATGAAGTTATCAAACTAAAAGTGCAAACATCATCCATTACAAATAAACCTTATTTTTAGATATCCTTTTTACGATTTTTAATAGTGACGTATGTATGTAATTCTTTTATGCCCAGTTTCCGAAAGGCCAATCAAAGCAGCAATCACATAACACTATGTCAAAAATGATCAGCTGTTAATCTCTTGTTAAACTGCCTTGGGTTTCTGGAAGGTTTGTTCAAGAAAAATTAGCTAATCACTGTATAACCAATGATAATGAATGAAATGAATGATTTACTTCAACTAACTCTTTCTATTGTATAGCTGTCCCTTTTTTAAACAAAACTTAAATTAATGTCACTATTCCAGTCCTGTCACCGTGTGATTGCCAACGTAAAAATCCGAGCTATAATAAAATTTAATTTATATAAATACATGCAAAATGTCAAGAAAAAACTTTACAGAACGTGAAAAAAATGAACTTTTATCCATAATAAACAAGTAAGTATTATAAAAAGGAAGAATCCATATTATTTTTTAACTTTTGAATTGCATTTTCTATTTTTTCTAATCGCATGATATGTTCGCAAAATAATAAATAATAAATAGGTAATAGAACACATGAATTTCCTTACAACGTATTAGGGAATTATGTTTATTTTTAATAAAAACTAAGATTTTTGATAAAATACATTTTTAACCAACGATTGATCGTCCAAATTGACAGATTACTTAATAAAACTTTTGACAGCCCGTTGACCACCGAAAAACGCTTTCAGAAACTCGATTTTATGTTGATTATCCGTTAATTAGTGACTAATTGCAAATCAAAATCAATGTTGTTTTCAGACGTTCTAGCAACTCAGATCATGTTAAACAACGTTTGACAAGAGATTTATCGTAAACTAAAATTGATTGCGCTTTCGGAAACTGGGTGTTAGACAGCTATGTTTTGGTAATTTAATTTTAAGGTACCTGAGTGTCTGAATGAGCCCTTAGATTTTAATTTTTTTTTTAATTTTGCGGCAGAACCAGAGTATCGGTGCGAGGGAGTTGCCCGAGAAGATGGCGTCGTAGAGTATAGAAGTCGGACGCGAATGTAGAGATTGTTAATGCGGCATATATCCTGTCACGCGTTGAAGGTTTCCTTTGTTTGTTAGCACTAAATAAACCCCTAGAGGCACCCTACACTCCAAGAAGTGTAACAGGTAGCGCAGTCCCTTGTACAATGTGTAGTTGGCTATGCTAATACCAAAAGGTCTTTTATCCTAAGCAATAATTCGTTATCAATAGTAGCTAACTAGATCCCGTAGCTTGATAAATAGTTGAATGAAAACTGGAATACGTTGTTAGAAAATCATTAGCTTAAAACAATTTTGAAAGCCATATATCTTTTATGGAGTGTAGCTAATTAACTAAATGTTAGTATAACATTAGTTTGCTACAATTCTACTTGCTAATATTTATGACGGTTCTAAATCACAAATATATTTTTGTTTGAATATTTAGTTGTTTTTTTAACACATTACTGACAATAAATAATCAGCATCGTTATACAGGGTGGCTTTTCTAAGTGTATCCATTTTTTTTAATTAAATTCTAGACATAAATAATGTTATATAAAAAATTATAAATAATTAAAATCACTCCTAAGTAATTAATTACATTCACTTGAACTTATCTCAAAAAGTGCCTGATTTATACGCAACTCATTTATATTACGCGCGATCATTCATAACTATCACGCACACAAGTACGTGCACAATAAAATTTAGGTATTTATGAATGACTACCGCATTGTCAACACGTTCTGTTTTTTAGGGAATAGAATAGCATTTTTTTTTAAACTTTGTTTTTTATTTCAATAGACGATTATACTACCGAGTCTGAACCTCCTATATAAATTTGGGCACTTCTCAAAAAATCTCCCTGTATTTAAATTATATTATTATAAATTTATCAGGGCAACTCTCGACTTTTCAAAATTTATTTACACACATCTTGAACAAATAAAGATGCTAGAAATAAAAATCCCCAATCAACCCTATCACTTTTTACTACTGCAAATATCGCTTAGTTTACTATTTCAAGTAATAATATGGAATCCGGTCACGGTGCTAATGTGCAAAAGCTAGAAAAGGGTGAGGAGTTACGCAAACACGTCCATCCGTTTGCACGTATATCCACCCGCTTCTCTCTGTTCGCGTGTGTGCGTGTGTCAATGTATGCGTGTGTGCGTGCAGGTGCTGCAGGAGCTGGGCGTGCGTGAGGCGTCGGCGGGGGGCGTGGCGGGGGGCGAGGGGGCGCAGGGCTGCGGCTGCGCGCCCCCCTCGGGCGTCTCGCCCGACTCCGGCATCGAGTTCGACCGCTGGAGCGCCGCGCGGGACACCCCCCAATGACAGTTCTTCACGCCGCCCCACCAGTCGCCGCCGCGCCACTGAGCGCGTACAATCGCGTGCGCCGGTTGCGTACACTCGCGTGCAACCCGCCCGCACCGTGAAGCATCAAGCCGTGTTTGCGGCTCCGCGCGAGTGTACGATTCGCTATCGCGAGCACCCGTGCCCCTGTCGCACCCGATCGCACGCGAAGACGAGACGACTCTACGCGAGTGTACCGCCCACTATCGGCCAACGTACGCTTGTGTGGATATGCGGATGGATTAAACTTGCTGCACAATACGCGTACGCACCAGTAGCCGCGAACTTAGAAACGCACGCAACTTAACGTCGTCAAGATCAAGTGTGTTTCTTTTGCGTGTGCAAGTGTTTGTGAATGTACTTTGTAGTTTGTTAACGGTTTTCTATAAAGTTTCAACGCCGAGGAACCTGAAATGCAAGTCACCTCAACATATGACCACTCTATTGCAACTTGTAGATAAAAAAATTATATGTATTCCTCTTACATATTTATATGTGCTATAACTGTTCCTTTTTAGCATAAGGCTGGTGACTCGTTAGAGCAGTTCAACCGTTTATTTTTGTAAAACCAAAAACGCAGAGTTCAAATGAAATATTCCAGTGGGTTTTATATTTTACTCAATCCCAAAGTACATACAGTACAGATTTTACAGTATGCGTATACGTATTCACCAAATTTAAGTTAGTGGCTATGAAATAGGTTCGACTAAATATACTACGTACAAAAGCGGTGTGCGATGCAATTGCCACAATAGTACAAAAATAATCTAGATCGTATCCCTAGCCTCTTTTATCGGGGCATTAGCGCCCTCTGTGGCCGTAGATAGGACTAATGTTTAATTGGCACGTCTAATGTTACAGTTCACGCACGCCGAACACTTCGCCACACGTAGAGACGTGCGCAGTGCGCCCGCACTAGATATAAACTTAACGTTTTGTATAATTAAATGTACCTTTAAAATATTCGTTAGGTCCATTTTTGTATAAGTTTGATAATGTAACTTAAGGTATCTGATACGCGACCCGGGACGCATTCCCCGATCTATCTTCCAGTAATATATGCATTTTGTGTATGTTCGTTACGCCCTCACTTGCTAAGGATGGAATTGGAATGTTTTATTCGGATCCGTCCGAATACCCGATAAATGGCGCCGTTGTCAGTTTTATCGAGCATCGGACGGGTTCGACGACAAACCGTTATGTGACGAACGGTAAATTTAACTAATATACATTAAATATTTTTCGTAAGTGAAAGTTTTTAAGGACCGGGCTTCTGATAACTCTTCCATTGTTGTTGATGTAGTGTTGTGTGTGCGTGTGTGCGCGAATGGCGTGTGATACGTAGGTAGTGATTATTCGTCATTAAAGGGATATATTATGTACCGTTATTTACAAATTTTAACGACACTAAAGGCCAGTTGGCGGGGCGTTTGCCCGAATGCCGGATCGGTCGCAATTAACTTCATAGTGTACGTTTAGTTTAGAGCGTATTTATAGCGAATAATAGATTTAATGATATAACACCGTTTATTTTTCTATCGATCTTCCGCAATCTCTACTTTTTACTCGAATAACGGCGTCGCCAGTGACAACGTCTCTGCGGACGATTGGCAAGCGCCGAGAGATTTATTTCAGAAACTTTTAACGATAAGGGACTTGCTAGTAAATTGCTATTTTTATATGGATTTGAGACAGACAAACATTGGTCATGTTTTTCCTTTTATTACGAGAACAAATGCCAAAAGGCCTGTTAATGCGTGATATTTTATTTTTTACTGTTTATATATTTCCATTGGCATTTATTGTTTTAACAGACGTTAAATCGTAATTATATTTTTCTATGTAGTCAAGATGAGTTTTGAGACATCCTTTAAATTTGTAAATAAAACAAGCTTTAACATTAAGTACGTTATTATTATGGTAATGTAGTGAATTGTTACGAATTGTAAATTTGTTGTAGGCTAAGACTTATATTGAGATTTGGCTTCCTAAACGTTACGATGCCCGATTTGTATTTTGTTATATTGCAGACGAAATAAATATTTACATGCATTTACAGCCCTATGTTAACAATCGAAAAATGTTTTTCCGTATTTACTAAAAATTTCCTAAAAAGATATGTAGTATGATAAACTTTTGTCAAACTTTTAGTCTGTACAATTATTTTAAATATTATATGGAGTCTTATTAATTTCACGTACGTTCCGAAGTTCATATGAATTCGCATCAGTCGCACGATTAACTCGATTTTTATATTTATAGAGGTAATGTTATGTAATGTAGTGCACAAAATCACCAAAGCCGGACTAATAGATAGTTCTCCGCCCTGAGATTTAACCGCCCGTTGGGACCCTGATACGGTAACTATATCGTTCTTGTACCTGTGTATATTATTATGATAACAGTTCTGTTCATTATATTGAAATATATGTTGAAGGGAATATTAATTGTATTTTGTAAATCTTTTCGTACGTTATTTTCCATCGATGCAATCGTCAAAGGCTCGACTATGCCTAAAGTACAAAAAGGACCGCGCAATGTAATAGAACGTCACATCAGCACAAGTTAATTTACGATATGTGGCTAAAATATTCATCGCCATTAGCGGAGCCAGTTTGACATATTTTGTCGATCGCATCAAAGCCACAGGCACATTTATTATTAACCTCGATACAAAATATAAACACTGTTAAATTTATTCGTATTTTATTTATAGAAAACCCTTTATACAATAAGATAATTTTAAACATAATGATGATTCGGTACTTGTTAGGACGTTTTCTAAGAGATGACAGAAAGAGGAAGACAAAGCCAAAATACGGTCTTAGGTAATAATTGAAAAAGGACAATTTGAATAATAATTCACTTGGATTTCAGATGGAAAATTATGTATTGAGTTTATGTTTCTCTACTTTTATTATATAAGAACCTGGATGCTTGCGCTTTGCTCGGATTTGTATTTTCACTGAACTTGGAAAAAAATAATATCAGGACTCCAAAAAAACAATAAAAAAAATATATCTGGTCTAGAACTAGCTGGGGTCTTGTGCTTTCGGAACCGCACGGTTACCGCCAGAGCTATCATAATAATATAGATGATGGCGAAATTTACCATCGTATTCTAATATTTATCATTGCCTGAAAACACGAATAAAATTACGTTTTCTAAAAATAAAACCTAGATTTTTCGCCCCCAAAACCCTCTGTATGCAAAATTTCACGAAAATCGTTTGAGCCGTTTCCGAGATTCAGATTATACAGATATTGTAAGGGATAGTTAAACGCAACCATAAACAAGCCACCGCCATCTACATAAACTGTGGAACTTAGACAGGTAGTTCAATTGTAAGAACTCGAGGCGTGCGGAAACTGCCGGATCGCTAATCTAAGTGTAATGGACTTAAGTGTTTTTATTCAAATTTTCATAACATCAGAAGTGGGATACGAAAACTCACGTGTCTTATTCCGTGTTAATGTGGTTAAGTGTAACGACAGTTTTGGTTAGTAAAGTAACAACCTGTAAATGTCCCACTACTGGGCAAAGGCCTCCTCTGTAAAAAGGATAGGTTTGGTGAGTACGTTCCAGTTTTTTATTATTAAACAGTGACAGGTTAATTTGCGAATACATGATGGAATATCTGTACTTGTTAAACGGTTAAGGTTCCATTTTGTTATTTTGTCGTGAGTTCTCAGTCGTTTAATTATTTTGCCCAATTGAATTAAAACAAGGTACCTTACCGCTTTTTGTTACCATTACCTTACATTTTTGTTACCTACCCGCTGAAAAACATTTATCTTATCTTAATGTCAATTCCATAATAAAAAGGAGCATATTACAGGCCAATACACTCAAAAAGTAGAATTGAGAAAAAAAAATTTAATGCGGAGATATAATTGCTCTAAGATGAAATTTCATCTAGATAGTTTTACTTCCTGGGTTTAAACAGTCTAATCGGTCTTCGAAATACTACAGTCGAGGAAAATGGTTTAATGAACGATGCGACTGAAGAGTGTGATCAAACTCGTCCATCGCGTCGTTCGTTTACAAAATAGGCCTTGCAATCAGTCAGTCAGTATTGTATTTCAGTACCAATTGCTAAGCTGTACGATGCAAAGGGAAATAAAAGGAGCTTTAGTATCTTTTTTTGTGAATTCTTAATAATTCTGGAAATGTGTAAGTTATTAAGTTTAAATGTTTAGTGGATATTGTGTTAAAAAATAGTATTTCTAATAATTTTAATAACTCGATTTTATCGCATTTCGATTAAGACAATGAAAATAAAAAAAGCTAAATTTATGTCCCGAAAATCAAAGCTTTAGGTCAACAACAGATAATTTGAAGAACAATCTAAAAAAAAACACGACTTTCACTTTGCTAATAGAGAAAGAAAACCAACAAATTCCCTATATACATATTGTAAGGACTATGGAACTCCAACTGTTTCACTCGACGAAAACTTCGATAGCGCAATTCTATTTCGTATTGGATAAGTTTCGTCCAGTAAGCCGTCTTCAACAGTAGCAACGAAGACCGTTTTCTGCAACCGTTTCGTTCATCGCGACGGCTATGTTTCGTCCGTCAAAAATTGGACGACCCACCTCTAGTAGATGTGGAAGCACCACCCACCCATATATCCGAACACTCAAAATGTCAAGCATAAGATTAGCGATGTTTGATGTGTTTTGGATACGTCGCCCAATTTCGCAAACATTTTAGGACTACATATAAGACTATTTGCATTCAACAGCACAGAATATATCCCATATCCACTGAAGCAAGCACTGGACATAAAATGCTTATATCATCGAAGAAGTAAATGAGCCCTCGTCGTGTGTATCGAAATTCACATATTGAGCGGCTTTCAATTTCGCGATCATTTAAAAGAGAAAGCCAAACAAGCTATTAAAAATCTGTGTCCTTAGTAGGGCAACACATACTGTGTTGCCCTACTAAGGACACAGATTTCTCTACAAGAAAGAAGTCATCGCTCATCGCTTACAGATTTCTAAACGACAGATGCGGCGGCACATGGAATAGTTTTTTTTCTCTAAGCTGGGTCACCCCAATACCATAGAATGTATTTTTTTTTCACTAATTGTAACTAAAAAATGACAAGAGAATAATTTTGTCAAATAATGGCAACCACTATTTGCACACATTTTTTTTTTCAGGCAATATTTCAATTTAATGTCTATGTTCAATATTTTTTGAAAAACACTGCAAGTGAAAAGAATCAAATTCAGTAGCCTAATATCCTAGTGGCTGCAGCTGATTGAAAGACGGCAACCATTTTTTTTTTTTAACTTTTTTCACTAAATTTCTTTAAAATAACGTTCTTTTATTCATTAAAAACGAATAGCTGGAATTGACAAAAATAAATTATTTGCAATTAAATTAATGAATGGCGATTGCGCTTATTTTTTATATAGCTTATCGACAACTGTGAATACTGTTAACAGTCACTAAAATTGTTTAATTAAAAACAGATACTGCAAAAATCAACCCCGCCTCTTGTACGAATTAACTATATGAAATTTGATTACAAGGAAACATTTTAAATAGGCAGTTTATTTGCTAATTGATGTCTGCTTGCGGTCGTATGTCTGTTTGTTTATCAATGATAGAATAGTTATATTGATAGAAAAAAAGATAGTTGTGATTGTTAATTTATTTTAATTAATTTTTCAAAATGATGCAGTACAACATATCTAATAATAATAGTACAATTTCTTTGAAATAGGTATTGCTAATCCAATTACATATTGGAAACAATATACGAATATTGTAGTCACTAGGTTGTTCACGTTAAATTATATAGACGCTAGAGAAAATATAATCAATTACCATTCTACAAAGAAATCTCAAAAGTTCTAATTGACTATCGTTGGGTGTGGACTGGAAACATTTCCAGAAACTATCCTACGTATCGCTATAGACCTTTGCCTCGCAACCCTCCATAATGTAAATTCTCGATATAAATTTATATTAAATAAACATTTACAAATACAAACAGGTGTAGAAAACGTTCAACACATATAGGGGACTTACTAGCTACGTTATATACAATAGAAAATGATGTTCTGGTTATCGGGAAATAGCTACCAAAGCGGTCATCTTTCACTCAGCCTACGCTTTCTTGTTGTGACCAATCATATGCGTAGCCACACCACTTCTGTCGCTACACGTGCCACATTGTATACAGTTTTGGCACAGATGTGCTTAAGAATAATTTGTAATTAAATTATTTACAATAAAAAGGCTTCACATTAGCTTATTGCTTTAAGTTGATTGTAAACGGCACGGCACTTCAAACGATTCATTTCAATATAATAAAGAATAATGTAATATATAAATTTAGGTACCTACATACATGTAAACATTGTGTTACACACATAAAATTTATTATGGATGACTCGAGAAGAGCAATAGGAATGGTTCTTATAAAAAGATATCAATAGAGTTAAAAGATTCATTCTTTGGAATGTAATGAAGCTTAAATATAAATCTGAAGCGAGAAATACAAGATATGTTAAATTACTAAGGTACACACAAAGGCACCCTCCATCATCAAAACGTATTGGTCCTCCCTGTTAATAAATCTCTAACATACAAAATACAAACGTAATGGTATAAAATACTTTTACAATGGCACTCAGTAAATTTAGTTTTTTTTTTTTTAAATAATAACAAATCGATTTCAATGTGCCATCACAGTTTTAGGAAAATACAATAATTCTGGTACATTTTTTGTTAATTAAACAAGGCATCTAATTAAGTAATCCGGTATCGGTTATCACTGCACTAGTTGCTAAGGCGACGTTTCTAAATTACAATCAAAGTCCCTTAGAATAATATATATATTTCGTTTTAGAATTTCCCTTACAACCTAAAATCGACGTGTAAAAAATGCTACGACGACAAGGCAGACTTGTGAACTTAGTCCCGAATCATATTGCTTTTGCAACGGTCCCACAACGGTTTTTTATTCAAATTTAAATAAATCGTTGAATACGGGAAATTAACGAATATCTCATATGAGGCATGTTATATTTAGCCGTATTGGATGTAATTTGCAGAATTTATACATGCTACCTTACATTTTATTCTAATGTTAATTATAAGAAATCTCTCTAATATAAAAAGATACTTTAGAAGACAATGAATAAACTTTTGTATTTTTCGTGCATATTGCATAAGTTAATTATAATAATTAACTTTTTAACGGCACAAGTCGGCTAAGGAGATTAATGTACTGCATCGATGTCCCGCTGGGCTCGTGATATCTTCACCTGCAGAAATAAAAACTTCGGTAATTATGTAAGTTTTGTAAATAATTTTCGTATCTAATTTGAAAGCTGTAAGTTATTGTTCTAATTTAAGTATTTTTTTTTTCCATTTTAACTTTTAAATCAAGAAAGAGTAGCGAAATGTTCATAGAAGTTTAGAAAAATGTATGAGTGTTTCTCAAAAAAAGTCCATAAATCGATCAAATAAATTTTTTAAAACAAATACATTTTTTGAAATTAGGGTTTTAAGTTGTAATTAATCTTTAATTAATGTTTATATTAAGATTTAACTTCATCTTCTGGTACGAAAATTTTAATTATATAGAATAAGAACGAAACTGAATAGTGAACCAGTTTTTGTTTTTAAAAACGTTGGCCTTACTTTAGGATAACATAATCCTGTGTTATAAGGACGTTTTACAAACATAAATTTCACGCGGACAAACACCCAGATGCGGAACAACTATCTGCGGGTCACACAAATAGTTGTCTCGTGTGCGAACCGAACCCACGACCCCCGACGCCGAAGTCAATCCTTTGGCAACTGTGCTACGGAGTCATCAGGGAGGTTTAAGTACGAACTTGAATGGTAACTAAAATATTAAATAAAAAGTTCCTGATCTATTTATTACCTTTGTTATTCCTTTCGAGCAGTGTTGCTAATGCCTTATCTAATAAAAAGTGGTTAATGCCTATTCCTTTATGCATACAGCACGGGTATTACAACAGTGACCTTAAATGAACATAAACGTAAAAAGAAATAATTTTCAAACAAACTAATTAAATAAAAAAATGTAACATCCTATAAAACTACACTTGACTGATACATTCCGAGACTTTCGTTGTCACAACGTCGCATTACAAGTCTCTCCATCTGTAGGAATTTAGATTTCCTAGAACTTGATATAAAACACTCTTGATATAAGTTAAAAACTGTATTGTCCGAAAATTAATAAACAACTTGATAATGATAGATGAGAACGCGTGACATGCTTGATGACTGACAGCGAACTGCGAATTTAATGCCGATTATTTTAGAACACAACAACAATGATGAGGCGTGCAATTGACGCCGTTTCGTAATAATTATGTCGAGCGTAGCTCGTACACCATCTAATAGCATGTTTTATCTCTTTTAAACTCATTCAACCAATTCATATGCTATGTGACCTTTACAAGTGAACTTTACGTTACAGTTTTATACGTAAGGCTGTTTTCTAAAATTATTTGTTTTGGAAGAATGAAAATTAAATAACTCTGTAAATATTAATGTTTAATGAGAGTAAATGTTTAATACAATTTTAAAAAGTCATCTTCTATTAGTGTGTTTATATACCGAGACGATGTTTTATTTTGAGAAATACTCATATACTGGCGTTCGAAAGCGACAAGACAGAGTATCGTTGAAAAAGGTTGCGACAGACAGTGGGTACCTTGTCCTTGGGCGTGGAGCGGTCGCCGGCCTCTAGCGCGAACATCTTCATCTTCTCCTTGAAGGAGAGCTGCTCGGGCACGGGCGCGGCGGGGGCGCGCGCCTGCTGCTCCGCCAGCCGCCGGGCTCGCGGGTCCCTGCGCAGTTTCAAGCGCGTCAGTTAAGAAGGCTTAAATGGTCTTCTCGTATCGGCGATTATGTCGAAGATATTGAAGCAACGGTCGCTTTCATGGCTAGTTTCCATTCATGATTTACCTTAAGCAGCTTAAAATAGCTTAGGCAATTTTCTAAAAGCACTGGATTGCTTGGCAAAACGTCAAAATTCAAGGTTATTAAATTATGAAAACCGCGATCCAGACGCGTGAGAAATCCGGTTGACAGTTGTTGTGGCTTAAAAATGAGTATTGAACCCAATTCCTGTAGCTTAAAGCGAGGATTGAATCGGCAACCTCAATACAAGCCCACCTGTAGACCTCCTGCGCGCCGATGACGCCGGGCGTGTGCGCGGGCGCGGCGCTGGCCGACGCGGCGCTGGGCGACGACGGCCCCGCCAGCATGCTCTCCGCCTCGCTGATGAACCGCTGCAACGGAACGGAGCATTTCGCTATTACCTCCCGACGTGTTTCGTTCACCAGTTTCTGGTATTACAAGAATACAAGTTCTGAGGACGTCTCCATCTTAGTTGGCTTTGTAGTTAGCTAGTATAGTATATTATATGTATATATATATATATATATAATATATAACATGACGTAAACGTACCAGATATTTCTCGTAACCAAAGCCAATTAAGATAGAGACGTCCTCAGAACTTGTATTCTATATATATATATATAAGTAGATATTTCTTTCGGATCGGATCGGATTACATATTCTCACGATATACAACAACCCTCCTGCAAGTTTGCGGTAGTTCCTCGGACGCTCTGGCCAACTCAACTAGCAGTTGATCGCATCTGCGGCGTGGAAAGTTATGTGGAGATACATAAGTGGATACTTACATCTGGATCTTCCCTTTGCGGCGGGTCCAGGGGCGGCGGCGAAGAGGTGGGTGGCGCGGGGGGAGGGGCGGTGCCGGCGGGCGCCGACGCTGCGGCATTGACGGGGGCGGGAGCGGGGGCGGGGGAGGGCGCGGATGCGGACGCTCTCTCGTGGAACGACACGCGCTTGTCCCGCGACGTGCTTAGTGGCGACCTGTACGTAGTTTATATTAGTCATTGTTTTATTGATAACATCGATGATGGTAGAAAGGTAAAGCATTAAAAGTTTTTCGAACTCCGCGTCTTCCCGAATGGCTCTTTTGTCATTCTCTTTTAATTACTCTTTTTTTTTGTATTCTCCATTGTTTACTTAGTTTTGGTGTTAATAAAATTACATCAAGTAACGTCGAAAATAATAAATATTAAAATTTATCCGCGTACTTACCAGCATAACATAACGGCAATGCCTGATAGAGCTCTGGTAGCTAGCTGATTTTGTTACCCGCGCTTATTTATTTCAATTTTATACACTATCCGATTTCCAATTCTAAGAATCGATGATAAGGAAAACATAAAGAGAATTTAAATATAAAAGTAATATTTTTGTTAATATATTACAAGTTTCACTTAATTTGAGACTAGATAATGTTGTGTAAAGATATGTCCTGTAAAAAAGTTTATTATTACATACATACACAAGCTTATTGTAGTACTCACTGGGGGGCGACGGGGTGCGTTGGCTGTGCGGGGGGCGCGAGCGCGTGGGCGTGGGCAGGCGTCGCGTGAGCCTGCGCGTGGGCGTGGGCAGGCGTCGCGTGAGCCTGCGCGTGGGCGTGGGTGTGGGCCTGTCCCTGGGCGTGGGCTTGCGCGTGGGCGTGGGCGTCGTAGGCGGCGGGCGAGAGCGCGCGGCGGCCCGCCATCACGGCGAACGAGGAGCCGCGCTCCGGGGGCGCGGGGGGCGCAGCCGTCGACACGCTCACTCCCGCCACGCCATCCGACAGCTCCGTCATGTAGCTCTCCTCGGCCGCCTGGTGATTACATTTATTTCATCAGATTAAAATAAGAATGGCATAATAATGTGGTAAAGTCAGGCCGGATAATAGAAAAAACAATAATAATTCAAATAAAGTTTAATATATTCGCTATGGGAATTAAAGCCTGCAAATATTCTCAAATGTTAAATATTGAAAAATTCTCAAATTTGAGGTTGCATCTTCTATGTCGACCATTAATCACGTGTTTTTTTTAGCATTTTTCACCTACTCCCTCTCGTAATACCTGGTGAGGTTTACGCAATACCTCAATACACCCTCCCTCCCCTTGTGATGTTTCGTCAATTTCGACATTTCTGCTGAACCCCCCTCCCCTTTCGAGCCTAACGTGATTAATGGACGATCCCTCACTGCGCAATTTTATTTCCACCAAACGCGCTATCCAAATTAATAGTCCAATATTTCAATATTATTACAGCTTAATGCTGCGCAAACCTTCCTAGATTTCAATCAGCCCAGAACGGGTGAAGTTTCATATGTCCTGACGACAGGAAGCGAAATAACCACTCAATAAAGCTAAATCTTGAGCACACTGACCGTGTCCGTAGCGTAGCCGTTCGTGATGTCTGCGCGGGGATTCGACTTTAGTATAGACTTCGGCGGCTGCTGTATCTGCTGCGGTGGATGTTGTTGCGGTTGATGCGGTTGATGCGGCTGAGGGGGTTGTGTTTGTTGTTGCGGCTGAAGGGGTTGGTGCGGCTGGTGTGGCTGATACTGCTGGTGTTGATGTTGCTGATACTGCTGATGTGGCTGATGCAGCTGAGGCACCCGGTCAGGCGAGGGCGTGCGGGACCGCGATCCAGAGCGCGAATCGTACTCCTCGTCGGCGCACGGCTCCGTGCCTCCACCCTCCTCCTGAGGGGCAATAGATCAAATGTGACTCCATCAAAAATACTTGTTATTTGTACAGTTAGGTATATTCTTATAACAAGTGCTTTTTTAACGAAAAACATAACAGACTTCAAATATCTCGCTCTGTTTTTCAGGAGTTCCCTAAGTATCTCCGGAGCCCAAGATCCAATACCAATGAAATTATGTGGGACCACATGGGAAGCACCAGCTTTCAAATAAAAAAAGAAAAGAAAATCAAAATCGGTTCACTCAGTCGAAAGTTCTGAGGACAAGGAGGAAAAAGGAGGACCATTTTTGAAGTCTGTTGAAAATAAGCTGATAATGAGCAGACTTTAATACAATGTTTACACGTTGAGAATTTTATATTGCCATGTAATATACATACATGATCGTGCTGCGTGGCGCGCCGCTCGAAGTCCCTTTCCAACTGCAACGCGCGCAGCTGCTGGTTCTGAACGGGAGTCCGCGAGGCGCCGAGCGCTAGCAGTTGCGCGATTGTCGCGTCTCTGTAAAAATCAACGAAATGTTACAATCAACATTTGCACAACAGCAACCCAGCAACCATCGAATATGTTGACTGCGTCTGACACGACCCCATCATCCCTCATCAAAGTTCCCCCCGCCCCCTCCCCCTCCCCCGTTACGAGACAACGTCTCCTTGAGTGGTACCTGCGCGCCCTCGCTGCCGCCCTGCGCGCCTCCGCCTGCCGCTCGCGCTCCTCGCGCTGCCAGGGGTTGTGAGGGGGGGGCTGCTGGCGGCCTCCCCCCGCCCCCACGCCCGCCCCGCCACCCCCGCCGCCGCCCGCCCCTACGGCCGGGTACACGGACACGGCGGGCGGCTCCAGCGCGCTCGCCACGTACCGCTCTGCGGAATGTACGGCTTTGTAGAAGCTACATTGTTGTTCAGCGTACCAATTGTTTCAAGGACGTCCCTACCCTCATAGCACCTCAATTTAATCCGATGAACTGATTCCAAAGGCAACAACTATGCAAAAGTCAGAATATTCCGGCAATCGATCAGCAAATAATTTTATTTCATACTAAAATATACGAGTTGATGATATCAGTTATGTGCCAAATGTTAACAACTAAATGCAGAGCAATAGAGACATCCTTGATATTTTCAACTCCAGTGATTATTTTTCTACCGTTATTGTAAGCTTCTGACGAATTGTGTATTTCGTAACTTTCTAGAGAAACTTTTCTTGCAGATATTCCAAAATTATTATTTTGGGGTGCTAATCAGAAAAAGTTTAGAAGAAGAAGAAGAAGAAGAAACGTTTATTCACGGTCTAAGCACAATAGATACAAAGAACACTTAAAAATAATAATGTAACTACACATTATGTAAAATAATATTAGAATAACTTAAAATAAATGTAAACATAACAAAAAAACTAAAAAAAAAAAAAAATAACTGTGTAGCAGCATAAGACCGTGAAACGGACGGGACTCGGTAAAAGTCGAGATACAGTAACTAAGATTCGTTCTGATCCCGACGCCGGTTAGAACTAATGTTTTCTTATTTGATATTGGTGTCAGCTGCTTTTTTTCCATTTTGGTTTTAGGTTACCAATATTTATCCCTACTCTGTGGCACTGTGACATTTACCGATCGAGCAGTGGACACGTGACTTAATTTTAATAACATAGATTTTGGTTCATTTTTCGAATTAATAAGTTAGTAACAGTGATTTATCAAAACTAGTTTGACCAATTGTGACCATTTTGTGATCAATTGAAATTATTTGAGATTCTAGAGAGATCTCTAGGATCCATCTAGCTATTCCATGAGTTTATATATATTTTTTTTATTTCTTTTGTCTTTTACAAAAGGTTTAATATTTACCGTCTTCTGGCTGCACAGTGTTTTGTGAATGCTGTAGTTGTTGTTGAAGCTGTTCTTCTTCAGTTTCCGAACGTCTCGCGCCCTGTGGAATAGCAAATATATAGTTTAGGATGATATTTGTATTTTAAATTAATCCTTAGCGTCTGGAAAAAGAGAATAAAAAAATATGATTAATTATTTTTATTTAACAATTCGCATAGTATGTGTCTAGCTGTTAAAAATTATGGAGTTAAAAATACCTAAACATTTCAGTATTTTCGAGATTTAACATATTAAAATAATTACCTGCGGTTTGGGGGCCACGGGCGGTTGCAATCGATGCGGAGAAGGAGGCCCTGGTGGGTGCCACTCGTACCTGCAGTGTACAAAATTGTCCTGGTTATGTCGGAAATCTATTAGATTGTTGCAAAAGTGATATATTATTGTTTTTAATTTCTACATAATTAACTTCAAAATGGTTAATGGCTCAAATATCAGAGGCTAAACTAAAACTACCCGATATAATGGAACGCGCAAAACTTAAATATGTGTCTTTTTACATGCCATACCCACAGTTAAAAAATCCAATCTTGCTTCCACGCTTTGTATAGTGCAGACGCGTTGCCAACCTTCATGAGAGTGGACCCCGGATACCTAAATGCCCAGACGAAACGAATAATTCTAATAATTTCATTTCACAACGGGTGTGTTTGAGGCCTTGGTACTTTCTGGGTATGAATGACCCATTTTTGCACCAGCGAAAGCTGATACGTGTAGATTAAATACTATATACACTGCTGCCTGCACACACGCTCCGAATTGAAATCTTCAAGGTTTGTCAACATTACAAACATTGACAACCCAATTGGCGTAATGAATAGTGACCCTCTTGCCCCAAAGGGTGTGAATTCGATCCTTACTACTGGAAAAATAATTTGTGATCAAAGTGTTTTTCTAGTTTCTACAAAGTATGTGTTATGTATAATTATAATAGAGGGTAAATGCAACTCGAATGTCAACCGGCAGTCGGACAATAAACGTCGTACGAACACATATATACTATTTGGCGACGAGGAAGTTTAATAGAATTAGTTTAATTCGGTCATTAAGGATATCAGTTTGTGAAGTGTTGTTAAAGATGTCGATCGGAGCGATAAAAGATTTCGACCTAAGTTCCGGCAACTGGAGGTTATACGTCGACCGTTTAAAAATGTTCTTTAAGGCTAATAACATTAAGGACGAACTACATTTACCTACATTGGTGTCTGTAGTTGGTGACCAGACATATGAATTGTTAGTTAATTTAACAAGTCCCAAGAACCCATCTGAATTTAAGTTCGAAGAGGTGGTGAAACTGATGGAAGATCACCTTCAACCAAAGCCATCGATAATGGCTGAGAGATATAAATTCCGGTTACGTCGACAACAAAATGGCGAAAGTGTGGCGCAATATGTGGCAGAGTTAAAGAGAATGTCAAGACAATGCGAGTTTAAGGATGCACTAAATGATAACTTAAGAGACCAATTTGTTTGTGGTTTGTCGAGTGACATAATACGACAGAGGTTGTTTGCGAAAACTGAATTAACATACACAAAGGCGGTGACATTAGCAATGGCGTTGGAAGCGGCCGAAAGAGATTCAGCTGCAGTCGAGCGAAATGAGAATGTGGGACGTACGGTGGAAGATCTTCATGGGCTTTCAGTAAAGAATAGCACCAAGAAACGGGAGGTCCAAGAATGTTCAGTGTGCGGCGGTTACGGACATCCGTCGACAAGATGTCGATACAGGAATTATAAGTGCAACGTATGTTACAAAGTCGGACACTTGCGACGAAAGTGTCCGCATTGGAAGCAAGAGTCCACGAGCTGTGCAAAGCAGAATCAGGGAGCAGCAGGTCGCAGACAGTCATCGCATTTCGTTAAGGAAGTGACAGAGCAGAGCAAGGACGAGGAATGTAATGTGCCTTCGTCCAGTGATGAGGAGGAGCCTATGTATCAGATGAGTCTCAGGAGTTATCCGGCGGTGAGCATGCCTATTGTTATTGAAGGAATAAAATTATATATGGAGATTGATACAGGTAGTGCGTGTTCGTGCATTAGCAAAAGTACATATAATAGATATTTTAATAATTTGCCTATATCTCAATGTTCTGTAACCTTAGGGTTTTACAATGGCAGTAAGATTAAACCTTTAGGTATTATAACACCTCGTGTTTGTTATGGTGATAAAGTACGTAACCTTGACCTATATATAATCGAAGGTATCTTTATTAGGACGGCAATGGATAGCCGAGTTAGATATTAAAATGCCTACATTTCGCTTACATAATAGTGACAATAATTGTAATAGTAGTATGAATACTAATGTGTCGACGCTTGTTAATAGCTATAAGGAGTTATTCGACGGACTGGGCCGTTACACGGGCGGGCAGGCGACGCTCCACGTGCGTGGGGGTGCGCGGCCCGAGTTTTGCCGCGCGCGGCCCGTGCCGTACGCGATGCGCGAGCGCGTCGACAAGGAGCTCGACGATATGCTCAGCAATGGTATCATAGAGCCGATTGCTCATTCAGAGTGGGCCACTCCTCTTGTGCTTGTCAATAAGTCAGATGGTAAGTTGCGTGTTTGTGCCGATTTTAAAACCACCCTGAATCCCGTCTTACTGATCGATAAATACCCATGTTATTTTAATGTAGCTTTCGTAAATATTTATAAGTGTATGTAGCGTTATTTCTTTTTTATTATCATTTTTTTTTATGTGACAATGCAAAATAAGTGAGGAGGTGTTATGTATAATTATAATAGAGGGTAAATGCAACTCGAATGTCAACCGGCAGTCGGACAATAAACGTCGTACGAACTACAACAAGTGTTTGATATAATCCCACATATATACTAGTATGGTTTAAGTATGTTTATTACTTATCTAGTACCCAGCTTTGCTTAGTTTGGGACTAGATAACATTGTGGAAAATATGTCGTCTAATAATTATTTATTATTATTGTGATTACAACTAGAAATAAAGACGAAAATCCCCACCTTTGCTGCTGGTTGTGCTGATTGTGGTATACGGACGGTGGGCTTTGGACGTTTTGCGCGTGCATGTAGTGGTGCGGCTGCGGCGACGGCTGCTGGTGCTGCATGTGCAGCTGGCTCTGGCTCAGGTGCTGGCTCAACTGGCCAGGCTGCCCCGCTTGCTGGCTCATCGGGCCCGGGTATTGGCCGTGCGCACTCATATGGTGGCCGGGCTGGCTCGTCTGGTGCAGTTGGTTCAGCTGCAAGTCCAGCTGGCTGGACTGGTAGCCCGGCTGGCTTGTCTGGTTCGGGGTCTGGGCTTGCTGGTGGGCTAGTTGGTTCGCCTGGTGGCCCATCGGGCTCGGATGCTGCGAGTGCCCGATCTGGTGGGCCAGTTGGCCTGGATGTTGGTTGAGTTGGGTGTGCGGATGGGGCAGGGTCATCTGCTTTTGTTGGGATAGCATTTGCTGCTGCTGTTGCCGCCTTGTGACCTCTTCAGACATTTCCGCTAACTTGGCCGCGCGAATATTAGCTGCGCTAGAAGTGTTAGCCTGGAAAAATTTTGAAAAGATATTATTTAGTCCTGAGAAAAGTGAAGATTATTGATAAAAGAAGTGTTTGACTAAAAAGCTTTTACTGGTATTCAACAAATAAAAAGGATGTGTCCAAATTCATACCTGTTGATGTGGGGAAGACTCAGGTTGCGATTCCAAGCCACCAGCAGCGAAATGGGCAGATTGAGGGCGACTGCCGGTACGATAGTTCCACCATCTACAATAAAAAAAATTATTATACATATTATGAATTTCTGGTGTGCTCATAATTTATAAATACGATTATATGTTTATTTCTTTTTTAAGTCCGCCAATAATTTCTGAATAATGGGCTTTTTATTTCTATAGTGATAATCTAAAAATGAGCTCAGTTACTTATATGTTCAGCCCCATTGATGGTCATTATGAAATGGCGTCATAAAACACGTAAAGCGCAGTTTAGACTATTGAATAACTTTGCGCTCGCATCTGTGAAAGTTAGTAAGGCCCTTTTGATCAAGTTGGAAATGAGCTGATAGATCTTTATAGATTATCCGTAAAAACCACGACTCGAACGCTTCAACATTTTTATAATTTTTTTTTTTAAAATTTTATTAATGAAAAACAAAATGAGTTTCAAATATATCTCTCTGTATTAATTTTATAATTGATTTTCAGGAGTTCCCTAAATATCTCCGGAGTCCGAGATCCAATATCAATGAAATTATATGACCACATGGGAAGCCCCAGCTTTCAAATAAAAAGAGAATCATCAAAATCGGTCCACTCAGTTGCAAGTTCTGAGGTAACGTAACAAACATAAAAAAAATACAGTCTAATTGAGAACTTCCTCCTTTTTTGAAGTCGGTCGAAAAACTTACTATAATCGGTCCATTCGTTTAGAAACGACGCCACAAACATAAAACAGTCAGAAGCTTATCATCATCATCATCATTTCGGCCTGAGTCCAGTGCGGAACGTAGGCCTCTGCCCTAGACTGCCACGAAGTACAATCCTGAGCCACTTGCATATAACACCCATCATTTCACGTCGGGCGTGGATGTAGTCTGCGCTGGGCTCCCATACCTGTCCTGGGCGCCGTGCGGGGCGTTGACGCTGGAGAGGTTCTGGTAGAAGGCGTCCGGGTGCGCGGCCGCCGCCAGATTGTGGCTGCTGCGAGACTTGCCCGCCCACGCGGCCGCGCCCGCCTGCGCCCCCGCCGGGCTCAGGGTGCCGCTGTGAACATGTTCGATGCTTGGTCGTGACAGCTCAGTGTCCGGGCGTTCGCTTCTAATTCAATACACTCGGGCGAACCGAGTTCAAATACGATGCATAAGTGGCGGCACCAATTATGTTATTAATTTTAAGCGCTCAGCTATTAAGGAAAACGTCCTTAGGAAACCTAATGGTATAGAAAATAAAACATTTCGAACATATAGTAAGTCCGCCAATCCGCAGTGGAGTAGCTTGATGGACCCACAATATGATAAAATGTACATGATACTTTGCGTCAAGCATATTTTTCTAAAATTTATACCGATAGCAGCAGTGAAAGTGATTAATATTTTTGCGTCGTCTCAATCTGAGAGGTAACCGGACAAATCCGTTGGCGAAAGGACTGAGAACTGCAGAAATAGAAACCTCTCATAAGAAGAAGGCCGGTAGCTCAATTGTGACTCCACCGATGTTGCAAGTGTCCATGACCTGATCGCTTACAATCAGTTGACCTGCTCGTTTGCCTACTTCCCCCATAAAAAAATAAATAGTTCAAGGTCATTACGTGTGCGGGGCGGGGTGGGCCTGGGCGTGGGCGGGCGGCGGCTGCGCGGCGGCGGGGGCGGCGTGGTGCAGGGCGGGCGTGCTCTTGCTCGGCTTCACCGGCTCCGCGGCCAGCCGCGACGGCAGGTCGCGCTCCGACGCGCGCCGCATCGCCCCACCTGAACGTAAGGCGTGACACGTAAGCACTAACACCAAGCTCAGTTCCAGACCCTCGATTTAATAAAACCTTACACCGAAACCTAATCTGGATTGACTTACCGCGACCGTAACTAAAATTTATTTGGAGCTGTTCATCGTCGTCAGAGGCCATATCGATAACTTTAAAGAACTTGGATTGAGTCGGTTTTAAACGTAGTGATAGAAGGGCCTCCCTTGGTCAAGATCCAACAACTTTACATAAAAAAATAATCCCCACACAAGCGTTATATTTACAATATTTTACTGTTTATAGAGTACACACTGATAAATGTGTCTTACTTACTTAACTTATAATTAGATTCGAATCTCAGAATCACATTTATCTCATTGTATCTAAAATATTATCGTGATGTATGATCCTACCATACAGTTCTGCAACAGTATAAAAGAATCGAGAATAATAAATTAAGTATAAGAATAGGTATAGTTTTTGATACTAATTCATTTAAATTTGTAAATATTTTTACGTAAAATAAGAAATTGGGTAGAAACAGGAAATTGAAAAAAAAATTACAACATTCAAAAGTTCTAAATTTAAAATATGTGGTATTTAAAGACGAAATCGAAAAGACCTTACACAATTAAATAAGAGAAAAATAAACTATGTTTAAAGGTTGTTTCATGCAACAATTTTTTTCTTTACTGTATAAAAGTATATAAAATATTTTCGTGTCACTTTACGCAAAAGATCTAATTACTGAATAAAACATAAATTTCTCTATTTATGCGAAAAAGCGGAGTAAATCTACAAGACAAAAAAATATGCCATCCACAAAAAAGCACAAACACGTAAACGAAAATGTCAAAAAAGGCGGCAAATGACGAAAATTTAAAATACCATACGCACATGCGAAAGAACAAAAAAGAAAGTGTCCGTGCTTGTGACCTAGAACACACCTATTTCATGCGTGTATAAGTCTTACACGGGGTTTCACGTTGAGCGTGGGCCTGGCTCTTCAAGTCTGGACAGCGGGTATCCAGATCTCCAGTTGGACAAGTTGTATTGTTGGCACTGCTGTTGTTAATATTTGGACAGCTTTGCACTACCGTTTCGTAGGAATCCCGACTGCGATCACGACAATTGCCCTTAGACACGTCCAGCAACGAAGATGCGAATTTACGAGGTGTCATAGCGACAACTTTCGGTGTTTTCGAACTGGTCACTCTCTCGAAGCTACCGCTCTTTGCCAGGGAATCTTGGCTAGGTTTCGTCAGGTCCGAGGTGACGCTTGATTGGTTTGATTTCAACTTTATGTTATCTAGTGTTATTACTCTCGGTTTCTTTTCGATGATTTCATTAAATATGTAACTACCACTATGGGAGGCGTTATCTGTGTGATCCTCTGAGGGTAGGTTTGGCAGTTCAAACTCATTCCCCTGTGCGAGGGTATCCTCGCTTCCTCTAGAGCCGTACCTAGACCAGTCCTCTAACTGAATCAAGATACTTTTTACTTCGTCGTCTGACATTTTTGTATCTCTTGTATCACTTGTCTCCGTTTGGTCGTGATCAAATAGCATATCCGCTAAACTTGTACTTATCGGTAAACAGTCTTTTAGTTTCGTATTCGCCTCTTCGCGAATGCAAAGATTTGGGCTAGATTGACAGTTTCGCTTGTAGTTTTTTGCGCTATACGTTAAATTTATATCATTAAAGCGCTTCGTCAAAGCTTTGACCTTTCCAAAAGCAGGTCTGAATTCGTCCGGTGATTTCCACGACTTCCTATCGACGCTGTCCAGAATTTGCTTCGTGTCGCATTTAACGATATTAGGGAGAACTTTATTAATGCGTTCGCATTTACGGTTCATAGTGTCATCGAAAGATTCCGAAGTGGAATAAGTGGACGGCCCCTCGGTATCTTCCGATCTACTTGAATACGAGTTGGACATCTTGAACAGCGTCCTCTTGAGGCGGCTGTGAATCGCGCCGATGTTTCTAGACTCTCCGTCCAGGTTCAAGCTGAGTTCGACTTTCCTCTCCGGCAACGGAACGGACTCCGCTGAAAACGTGGCAGCGCCCTCGTGTTCGGGCGAGGAGGAGGTTTGGCATTCGGCGTCGACGGTTCTCTTCTCCTCGGAACGGTCGAGCGACAGAGAGGGCAGTATGCGTCGAACTTTCGGCGTGGCCACTCGCTCGTCGGCGCAGTCGTTTTCGAATATAACGGGCTCGGAATTGGGCTCGTCTATGTAGGGTATCCGCGGCGCCTCTGGCTGCGGGGTGCGGCAGCACTCGCAGGCGCTGACGCACTCGTCCAGGCCGGTGCAGCGGCGCCTGTAGCCCTCCGCCTCCCTCGCCCGCGCGTTGAACAGCTCCAGCGTCAGTTTCGTGTCGATTGGCCGCATTTGGGGCGGTATGCAGATCGCTTCGCCGCTTTCGCTCGACTGCTCGTAATACGCTGGCGGTTCTGGAACGGGCGGCGGTTTCTGCGGTGTGTGTGTTTTGTGCGGTCCCGTATCGCATTTGCGCTGTTTCTCGTCGTAATCCTCGCACGTGAACGTGAACACTGGTACGGGCCGCACCGGCGAGGGCGCGCCTCTCAACTCGATCGGGCATCCGGGCGTCTCGGGTGAGGGGTCGTCTTGCAACTGGTTGTTTTCCCTGTCCAGTGTTATAATCAGCCTAGGGATGGAGCCGTGATAGTGCGGGTGACACTCCTCGCTGTCGTCCGTGCTAGACTCGGTGGACTCGTCCCTGATATTGAATCTGTCATGGAACGGCCGTCGACCGTACCCTGCAATTCGAAATAGACATGAGTACACGACACATCGGACGAACGGGTCCGCAACGAGAAGCGAAACGGGGAAACGGAACTCAACGAACTGAAATACCAGGCACCGAACACAACCAATAAAAAAAAACAAACAGAACAAAACCAATTCTGAACGAGAGCGCTGACCGAGCACAAACAAAAAAAAAAACAAACAACCGAAGAAAAAAAAAAACGATAAAAAAGCGGGCCGAATAGGGAATCGTCAGTGCCTGCTGTGGCGAGCTCGGTGAGCGGCGAGGCGGGCTTGAGCAGGGCGGGGTGCGTGTTGGTGTACGTGCCCGAGTTGCGGCGCACGCGGTCCTCGTACTGCACCTCCTCGCACTGCGCGGGGCCCACGCCGCCCACGCCACCCACGCCGCCTACGTAACGCACGCACGCACGGACCTCAATCGATGCTCCACCTTCGATGCAGCGATCGCTGCCGACCATACTCGACTGTGGCTGATTTAAACGGCTCAACATTTTTAATTTTTCTAACCTTTTTTTCTGCCGACCTTACTCAGGTCTCAACTGAGTCCGATTTTTAATAATCCTAATAACCTTTATAATACGCTTCTAAAACTTCAAATGATTGTGGATCTTTCAATTTGCAGATTTCAGAACACTATATAAAATCATTGAAAATACAACCGGTTCTTTATAATGACCCCCTCTATTTTAACATAGTCAGCTTATTATTACGGTGGAATGCATTACCCATTGCCAAAGAAACCGCTGACCACCACCAGTATATAACCACAATTAATTCACTTATATAATCACTTTTTGATGTTAGTATCAAGCAATATTAGATTATATTAGCAATACAGACGTTATTTGTACTGAGCATTCACAGATTAGTTATTTTCTGTGCACTCCCACCGTGCTAGCAGAATCCGTTACCTTGTCTCTGGTTATACGCAGGCTGATGGAGAAGTGTTGCTAAACCATGAAGTACTGCTCCCTGTTTCGCCACTTCCAAAGTAACCGTTGGACCGGTTCTGACAAGGTATTCTGCCGCCTTCGAAACAAAATATTAAAATTTAATATCATCATATAGGCCATTGCCCTAAAATGAACTTAGTGGTAGATAATTAATTAAAAATAATCTCACAATTACAATGAAAATCGATGTCAACTAATATAAATCCATTCAATGGACTATGTGCTCACCGGTTAGGAAAACACTGAGCAAATCTAGATTTTTTCGAAATGAAAAAAAAAAACGAAGGATTATGTAAGTCTCTGCAGAGGGGTTGCGTGGTGGACTATGCCCTATCCTCTGTACAGAGGAGACCTTTACCCAACATTGGCACATAATCATGTAGGTCGTCAATTTATTTTACTTTCTTTTAAAGGTCATGTATCAGCCGTTTGACTTACAAACTTGTAAAAAGAAACTATTTTCATACTGTTTGGTGACTCTAATCGTCATCCGAACGAAGGCGCTAACCCCAAGCGCCGGATAGATGTGTAAGCCCTTCTGCTGCTCCAAGAGTGGCCACCGGGAAAGTGGGGAATCCCCCCATCCGTCGTAAAGTGTACAATCCCGTTTACCTTCTCCTGCGTGATGCCGACGAGCGAGTGTCCGTCGACGGAGAGCAGCTGGTCGCCGGCCGCCAGCCGGCCGTCCGCCGCCGCCGCCCCGCCCGGCACCACCGACTTTATGTAGATGCCCAGTTTGTTCTGACCGGCGCCCTGGACGAGTGTTCGATATCAATCGATACAATTGTGTTCATTTATACAGGCGGCATAGTAAAATTGTTCTTAAGTTCGTTCGTTTAAATTAATTTCACCTTTGCTAGGAAAGTGAAAGGGAAGGACAGGTCGTGCCCACCCCACCTAGTGTGGGATAAGGGCAGGAGAAAGAACGATTTTATGTGTCACGCGACAGTTTTCGCTGTTGCACTAATGGGCTTTTCGCTGTTGCACGAATGGGCATTTCCGTTCCGGTAAGTACCACGACCTAGTGAATGCAAATAAATAAATATTCGGGACAATTTTTACACAGCGCTATCTTGTCCAGCAAAGCTTTTTGGTACAAGAAAACTGATTAACATATTTAAACGGAATTTACTTTAGTAAATAAATAGGGTGGCTTTTTAAAGGTGTTCAAATTCACACAGGCGGTTCAGAGTCAGTAGTATAATCGTTTATTGAAAAAAAAAACCACAAACTTTAAAAAAAAAAATTGCCATTCTATTCTCTAAAAAACAGAACTTGTTGACAATGCGGAATTCAGTCATAAATGTGTCGTATACTTTTGAAACGAACTTGTGTGCGTGTTAGTTATGAATGATCGCGCGTAAAATAAATGAGTTGCCCATAAATCGCGCACTTTTTGGAGATAAGTTCAAATGAATGTAATTATGAGTGATTTTAAATATTTATCATTTTTTATATAACATTATTTTTGTCTAGAATTTAGTGAAAAAAAAAACGGATACACTTAGAAAAGCCTCCCTGTATAAACACCCGGACTCCATGAAAACGCTATGTTCATCGCACATAGATGAGATAGAGGGCCTTGGCGGACCTTGGCGGCGACGATGCTGAGCCCCATGCCGGAGGAGTTCTTGTGCAGGCGCACGAGCAGCGGGCGCGCGTCGGCGCGGGGGTGCGGCGCGTGCGGCGCGTGCCCCGCCAGGTAGACGGACCAGGCGCCCAGCGCGCGCGGCTGGTGCACGAGCCGGCAGAGCGCGCCGCGCTGCAGCGGCGCCACGAACTCGGCCAGCCCGGGCGGCACGCCGCGCACCACCTCCGCGCTGAACCCGTCGCCCGGGATCAGCAGCGCCGCGCCCAGCCAGCGGCTCTCCTCCGCGCGGATCTGCCAAGGTCGGACTCATTCAGACTCGAAGATAAGACTATTGATTGATATATAGGTTCGTGAGTGCGTTGCCGCCGCTCCGAAAGGCGCTCTCTGTCGAGAACTGATCGCCACTCGGGTACTCCACATAATCTACCACTTGTCTTATTCAAAGTCAATTTTGTTTATTCAATGTAGGCTTAATTTTAGCTTTTATTGTACGTCGATTCCATATAAAACCCTACCTAATACATGTCAACGGAAGTGCATTGAAAATATAAAAGCAAAGATAAACTAGTATGTTATAATTAAAAATTGCTCAAAAGGATATAACAATACATGCGCCAAGCATTGCTTTTAATAGATAAAAACAATATAAATAAAATAAATTGAGATTTTCGTCAGTATGGCATTCATTTCCGTTTGGCTTAGTGGTTAAAGCATCTATAAATTTATTAGTCAACATTTTTAAAATTTTACTTTAAATTAAATTAAGAATAAATAATATATAATAATTTAAATTTAGAATTTTTTTAAATGTAATATTTACATTTCTTACTACGGCTAATAAACGATTCGATCTGACAATCGTAGAGCTCACCTCCCGTCCGTCGGCGCGGTACAGCTCGTCGGCCAGCGCCCTCGCGTGGGCGACGGCCGCCTCCACCAGCTCCGGGGGGGCGATGGGCGCCAGCAGGGCCCGCACCTGCACCGAGTTGAGCTTCACGCACGCGGACAGCGCCGCCCGCACCTCCTCGGCGGTGCGGTACTCGCCCTGGATCAGCCGGGCTGCGGGGCCCAAACGAAATTTCGCTTTGTATGAATACACAAACATAAATATAACTTGAATAAACTTGTCTTTCCATCAGATTACAAAATACATCCGATACAAGGCGCCTTCAAGGTAAAGTAAATAGGTTTTTACTCAGGCAGTGCTACCCATCAATGGCTGCATCGCCATTTACCATCAGGTGGGATGGCAGTCAAGTGCTGGCCAGTCGAATATAAATATATAAAAACAACTATCACGGCTGGTACATAAGTACCAATCGTGATAGCTTATTCAAAACTGTAGCAACTTGAGTTCGATCCCCGGTGCCCACAATGAAATTGTTAATTTTAAATGCAGATTTATCACGTGCTCAACGGTGAGCGAAAACCGCGTGAGAAAACCTACAATTTTAGAATATATTTGGGAAATAACAACGAAAAAAATGTTCGGAAATATGCAAAATTCGCTATACCACAGTATACATAGGAGGCCTCTGCCCAGTAGTGGGACATTTATAGGCTGTTACTTTACTTTATTTTATACAACAATGACTACAGGCTTTACAATCCTTGGTCCCTTGGGTGTGGACTGTGTTCGAAATATCAGTAAATAAAACAACAAGCAAATCAGCACCGTCTAACAATCTCTGTAAATATACTACTATTTTTCAATCATTAAATCTTTTAAATTTTATATCACTGAACTTCTCCCAATCGGCTGGACCGATTTTCATGCAATTTTGTGTGTGTCTTCAGATCTGAAGATTTGTTTAAATAATGAGAGGTGAGCGCCACGCACCGGCCTGGTGGGTGCGGGCGAGATGGCAGTCGGCGGCGAGCTCGAGCCCCTGGCGCTCGGCCCAGGCCGCGAGCAGCGCCAGCCGGCCCGACAGCGCGGCGCCCCAGCGCGCGCTCACCGTGCCCGGCTCCAGCACCAGCTGCCACACATTATTACTCATAGCGGTGGTGGACCACAGGTTTTGTAAATGTCCGTGGGGTACCGTATTCACTTAAGATCAGGTGAACCGCCTGCTCGCTTAACTACTTTTCACATAAAAAACACATTAAAGCCTCATGTAACAGTTACCTCTACTACATAAGAATAATAAACGTTCAAAAAATATATACATAAAATCAATGCCGAATCGTTGTTAGAGCTTGATACACACTCAGTAAACTATACTCTGAAAATGGGAGAAAAAAATTTTTTTTCTCCCCGTTTTAGGTGGCGACAAGTAATGAGTTGTTTGAATATACATTTTGTCTGTCAAATATTATCCGTTCGATTCAAATTCATTCAAGTTGCCTTAATGTCTTTTATTTCAAGTATAGATTGGTCAACTGGTGGCTGGAAGAACTAATAATTAAAAAAGCTAATGACAATACACAATTATATGTTACTTTTATGCCCTGTGCACGGTTAAGGTTTATCGTAGACATGTATATGATTTTCAATTAAATTAGGGTGATGACTCCGTGGCGCATTGACAAAGTATTAGCTTCGGCGTCGTTGGTTCGAATTCCACACGAGTGAGTAATTTGTGTGAACAACAGATAATAGTTTGGAATCTGGGTATTTGTATACGTGAAATTTATGTATGTAAAGTTCTTTTTTGTTCGTTTTTGTTTTCTTACAGTAAAGGGCATGATGTTTTGGAAGGGAAGACAACAATAGATCTTTTATATCACAGGGGTTGTCGGGACCATTGGACACAAAATACAATATATACGGGATATTACTAAATTATCAAATTGAGTCTGCGTACCACGTAGTAATAAGACGGCTAAACTCACGTTAAACCGGTGTATCTACCGATTAGACCTCACTACACTGCGAGACAGGGCGCTACCGCGATCTAATCACACTTACCCTGATGAAGGCCATCCGATGGAGCCGTCTTATTATTACGTGAACAATGTCTCACGAGAGTTTTAATAAATTCCGTCGATACAAAGATCAGAGTATACGGTCATTAGGATTCAACGTTTCAATCGGCAGGAATGGGCACCTTGTTGAAGCATTAGGCATTGATGTAGTGGAAGACGTGCGAAATTTTTAATAAATCCCGTCGATACGAAGATTAGAGTATATGATCATGCGGAGTTTTCTCGTTTGCCCCCTTTTCTGCATAAAAAAAGTTAACGTTTCAATCGGCAATAATGGGCACCTTGTTGAAGCAGTAGGCGTTGATGTAGTGGAAGAGGTGCGAGAAGAGCTGAATGGTGAGGGCGGCGTTGACCCTGCAGCGGCGCAGCAGCACCATCGCGGCGGCCAGCGCCTGCAGCGTGGGCGCCGTGGCCTCCGTGGCGTCCGGTAAAGAGGGGCTGTTCAGCGTCACCAGCGCGCGGCCCAGCTCCTCTTGGAAGCACGTCACCAAGTTGCTGCCGAGGTCGAATATCGGGATTTTTTTATGTGAAAAAGTGTCAAATTCGCCTGATGTTAAGTGATAACCGCCGCGTATGGGCATTTGCAACACCCGTAGGGTTGCAAATGCGTTGCCACTTTTAAATTGAGTGGGCCCCGGCTACCTCACTCACCAGACGAAACGCAGACGTGTAACTCTTCTACTTTACGCCGGTCTTCTGTGAGGTCGTGGTAATTACCCGGACGGACCTGCCCATTCGTGCAACAGTGAAAACTGTTGTGTGGCTCTACCACAATTTACCACAGTTTGGGTTAGGGTTAAAGTCACGATAGCTCAGTTCCGGGCACTCGTTTTTCAATCCATATGCTCGAGAAACACAAGTTCAAATCCGGGTGACGGCACCAATGAAATTTTTAATTTTAAGTGTAGTCAACACTATCACGTGCTCAGCGGTGACGGGAACAACGTGAAGAAACCTTCATATCTTCGAAATAATAAAAGTTTTTTTTCAAAGATATGCGAAGTCCGCAGTGAGGTCGCGTGGTGAACTATGCCCTAATATTATCATATGTGCATACAAGGCCTATGTCCAGCATTGGGACATACATATTGCACTGCTAAAATTTGGGCCATTTATAGAGGGTATTCGGACAGACTCCGCCCATAAATCCCGCTGCGGATCGAATTCCTTCTTTTTCTTCGATAATATTTCTTTTTAATTATTTCTTATACATGTTATAGTAATTTGCACGTTTGTCTTATTTACAAAGCTAGTATAATAAGTTACATCGACTTCATCTCTTCATTCAAATAATCGTTATAATCGTAAGTCAAAATTTGTAATAGGATTAAGTGAAACATCGCTTACAGTAAATGATTTACATATAATCTCTTTAACTTAACATCTCTAAAAAGTTTCCAATAGTCGAGTAGTAGTTTCGAATTACATAGCAATGTTTATCCGAGGAAACCACTTGATAACTATTAATTACCTGAACGCGTTTTGGACGGTCTGCGGCAGTAGCTCCTGGGCTTGCGTGGAAAAAGATGAGATGTGTCTGTCGCACTTCAGAAAGTGCAGGAGCTCGCTGGCGTTGGCCATCCAAAACGCCTGCGCCGCAGAATCGGTACACCGCTCCTGGAACATTTAATCCGTTATATATTATTATGAATATTCCAATAAAACTCTCTTGTGGAAGAGCAATACCTCCCAGCATCTCAGGTGTCTTATAAAAAGTGGCTCCGACTTTTTAAACAGATCATTATAAATTGGGAAATAAATAAATTTTGAATAAATACGTTTAGTGATCCTGCTTATCGTTGTTTAACTTTAACCATTCTTTTATAAAAAAAAACAACAATGGAGTTTGGATAAAGTAGTAAAAATTTTTCTGAAAGAGAGATGCTTGTTATCGAAGTAGCTAAGGACTTTATATCTGTAATAGACAACAAAAAGACGGATGGGTCCTCTATTAAGGTGAAAAGCAAGCTTAGATTGCATTAACAGATAAATATAATACTTTACTTTTTTTCGGTTGATAGATTTTAATATGAATTAACCTAAAATTTGAATTTTTCAAGAGATGAAACGTCAAATAAAGTAATGGAACCGATAAACGGCACTCATTGGTCAGTCAGGTTAAACTAAGTTTAAACGGAGTTTATCTTATGTGGCGTTGTTCAGAAACGCTCTTTCGTAAGTTATCGAACCAATAGCGCTAACGAATAGATAAACTGCCGACAAAAGCTCCTCAGAAACTGGGCGTTAATGGTCATAAATAACTTAGCTATTGCTTTTCGATTACGAATTAACATTTTGTAAATTAATTAGGTTGGTTCCTCAACTTGCAATTTGTACTTTACATTCTTAATAAAGTATATTACAAAATTCTGTTCAGCTGCACGATTTACGCCATACGCAACACGCAACAAGCACCGCATAGGTACCGGTGCGTTTCGTAGAACATCCCAGAATCTTACTGGATACTCATACCGAGAGTTTAAGCTAAGTCTAATTACACTCGATGCAAGAATAAAGTGTGGTTACTGACCTGTACGGTGGCGTGTATGAGTGTTGCGACGTGGTGGAGGAACGCGGTGAGTTTATGCGCGCGTTCCGTTGGCGTCAGCTCCGGCCGATAGTGCGTGGACGCGCGATATCTACAAGAATGGTAATAAATGACACTCTTCAATTCCTAGGTAAAGATTATTATGTAAATGAAAGAACAATTAACTTACAGGTTAACAAAAACTTATATTAAACATTGTGAAATTGTACGTTGTACGATTGTTTGTAAACGTTGTACGGATTTTATCGCGTTTAAGCGTCAGCCAGCTTTCATGGTCACAGGAGAGTCTTTGACAGACAACTGTTATTATATAAGTCCATGCCACCAAGGAAATGTGGGGTAAAGGAAGGACTTACTGTATCGAGGCGTCTGGTTCACTGATGCCACATTCACCACCACTTTGTCCAACAACGGCGGGTATGTGCCCCACAGCTATCGGTTCTTATCACAGGAATCACTTGCTCTTTTCGAGTTCTATTATTTTAACGCGGCGGTTTATGGATGCGGGATTATTAATTATGATGAAATTCTCTTCTTTGGGGATATTCGCGGGAAATCGGGCGCACAGGCTTGTTATCGATGCGGCGATTGATCATAGAAGTATATGTAAGTCTTGCCTTTACCCCACAGTGTGTTATATTAATGTATAGATTCATTTCACAATGTTGTTGTTCAAATTAAAAGTACTTTTCTTTTGTAAATAAATATTACAACACTATATTGATCGCACAATATTTTTATCACTTTACCCGTGAAGCGAGTCGAACCCGCGATGCTAGAGACAGGTTCACAGAAACAAAAAGTAAGACAAGTAATTAATTGGACAAAATCGCGTTAAGTGAGATAAGTTTGAGTGAAGTAGTTGACCAGAAGGCGAGTCTAAGCGTACCTGGCGCACAGGTACAGCGTGTAGACCGGCGCCAGCTTGAAGGCGGGCGCGTGCGGGTCGAGGCGGGTGATGACGGCCGCCAGGAACTGCGCCTGGCCCGCCTCGGGGAACTCCAGCACGGCGGGCAGGATCGCCTCCTGGCCGGGCCGGGCGCTCAGCGACACCCTGCGCTCGCCAAGTGGGGCGCGGAAGTCAATAACGATAGTCGTCCTCATCCCCTAGCCCAGTGTTTCTTAAACTTTTTTTGGAGTACCGCGTACACTTTAGGAAAAATTTACTACCCAACGCCCTCCCAGAAATTATTTATATAATTATTCTACAGTATCGCGTAGATTGAAGATTTTCAACGTACCCTTATACGTACTCCCAGTGGATAACCGATTTTTATATAGCGACTCCAAAATTATTTAAAGTTACAATCGCCCCTTCAGATAGAAGCAGCGTACAATGTTAGGAAGGTATACCCAGCTTAAAAGGTATATACGTTCCAGGACGGTTCTCACCGTTCCCAGGAAACGATTAATACAGACTGACTTGAGTCGGCTTCGACGGCCCTCAACTGAGAGACTTTTAAAAAATTTTTTTTTCTTATCACATGATGTTATGACGTCAATTTTAATCGATCTCTGTTTATAAAATTTAAATTAAATTTTAATTTAGTTCTTGTCTCTGCACTTGTAACTTGCAATAATTAGGACTAACATTTTAATCGTTCTAACATGACTTTTATCTAACCTTTACGATTATTTTCAAACTTTCTTTATGTGAACAAATATTGTAAATGTGTATACAAAAAGATTTTAATTAATAATTTAAACAAGTAAAATTATTCTCTGTCTAAAGTTTTTCTTCTCGCTCTTAAATAGTAATGAATAAATAAAAATATTATAATTTATCGAAAAGTTACTAAAGGATGGTCAATGAAAAACTACATACTTAAAATGGTTGCAATCAAAATTATGAAACAAATAAAAGACAAAGGGTAAGCGCATAACTCCTTTTTATTGTATTATTCATGTTAAGAAAGGCTAAAAGGCTGCGAACGCTGTCTAACATGACCTAGCGAAGACAACTGTTTCTTTCCCATAATTACACAGAGGAATTTATACTTTAATAATTTTGCATTGTCGCAGTATTTTTGATATTTGATATTTTTTAACAAGCAATGAGAATGTTTTTTAAATAAATTCACATCGAATCTTGTTCAACCTAACAACATAAAAAAAATTTTTAATTTTGTGTCAGTTTTTAATTTTGAAAACTTACAAAAATTAACATTCAAAAATTGGACCGGTACTCACTAAATTGCAGACCACCTTACTCCGGCACGCGTAACTTACACGATTAAGTTAATACAAATAACATATCGATTCGTAAATTATGCATTATCGTTACGGAGAACTTACCTTTTATTGCGAAAAAGTATTAAAATATTGCTAATTCAGTGCAATGCTATAGACGGCTCGACAACGTCAAAACATAAGCAACGTACCTGTTGTCGTGTCCCGAACCACCGCTCTTCGCGCTGCATATGCTCTTCGTCTCAACATTTCCGTCCAGATCGAACGTGGTCTCGTAGTTGTCCTTGTACTGGGAGCCGGTACGGCTCGTGCCAGCGCTCTGCTCCTGGTCGTTGTACGCCGAACCGGAGGGCTCGTCCCTCATGTAGTCGTCTTTGGATTCGTTCAGGTGCTGCGACATCATGAGCGACTCGTTGTCGAGTTTCAACGTGTTGTTGTTGTACGGCGACATCGTGTCGTTGCCGTCCCTGTACGCGTACGCGTCGTGCGACACCGGGCTGACGGTGCCCGGGTACTCGGTCTCGTTGGTGGCGTTCGCGTTCGAGTTCGAGTTCGAGTCGAGTTCGGCGTGGTGGGACGCGAGCGAGGTTGGGGACATCGCGCCGCTGTTCTCCGGCGAGGTCGGCGATCTAAGGCGTGTTTAGTTAACAACAAGCGCATGTCGGTGAGGTGAGCCAGTGACAGAACATGCAACGGAGAGAAAACAACGTAACGATGAGCTAGAGTAAACGGAAAAGTATATAATACCAAACGTGATTAGGAAGCGACGTATATCGAATCTATGTTTGAAGTTAGAGAGCTCGAAAATAAAAATAACGTTGCAATGTGTATAAATGAAACATCTACTCGGTCTATACAGTGGTATATCTAGAGAGTTCGAGTTGGCGTTACTACGGGCGACATTTAAATGAAAATTGAATGGGCAGTCACTCACCTGTCGTAGATGGAGCCGGAGCCATAGTTTTGGGACTGAACGAGGTTCCTGTTCATGAGGTTCTCCTGCGCGGGGTCCACAAATCGGAAGGTGGAGACACGACCGACCTTGAGGAGGCAGCCGTGCTGATGGCGAAAGCAAGTGCCGATCAGTCATTCACCTTACGATATTTCAGTCACGAACAGTTAGTTAGTTGTATTGCACAATTTATTACGATATGGCCACAATAAAAAACGAAAGAAACAAAGCGTAAAAATTAATGCATTGAAGTGTAGCGATTAATTCAAACTGAACAATAAATCAACTTTTTGAAATACCGTACTTTAGCAGTTAGACGTGCTATTAGGTAAAAACTTAATTGATTGCTACTAAATATTTAGTACTTTTGAGAAATAAATGGGAAACGAGTCGAAATTTAGCAATAAAATTTTATTTAATAAAAACTTCTCGTAGTTAGGCCACAAAATTTAGACAACGGGTATGCTTTGATGGCCTTTTTGGTAATACATTTATAATACGCGGAGTAATCCTTCTTTGCCTCGAAAATGCTCACTGCAACATTGTTTATAATACTAGCTTTTCGCTCGCGTTGGAGCCCTACTTAAATATCTGTCTTTAAAATGGTATATTTATTATTTAAAATTCATCGCTTCAGTAAATTTGGCGTGAAAGCGAAACAGACAGACAGAGTTACTTTCGCATTTATAATATTAGTATGAATTGGATAAATTTTCGATGAACAGAATTTATTAATAAACAGATTCTAAAAATATTTCTTATAACATTACAACGGTATTTAAGAAATGGACTGAACGATTAGGCTCTAGAGCATTTTCGCCACTGCGAGTTCCTAACGACCTCTATCGTATTACGGTCTACGTTCACTGGTACTTAAGTTAAACCCCTTATATGAGCAATTAACTACAGCCGTTCGAATAAATTTAATTCGGGCTTAATTAAATGTCGTGTATGTACAACACAAGGTCACAATTATTATTAACAAAAAAAAGAGAACTACAAATATCTCACTCCTCTTCTTTCTCCTGAGATCATGAACTATGAAACTAATGAATTTATGGGACCACGTTCGAGCGTATAAAATAATTTTTAAAATTTGTTCATAAATGACGCCGTTCGGAGGTAACAAACATTAAATATAATACAACCGAATTGAGGACCTGCTCCTTTTTTATGTCGGTTTAAAATAGGCAATGTGTAGATGCGTAAGAGAAGAGTGTGCGTATGATTTATAGGAGATACCAAAGCTTATTCCAAAAGGAGAGACACGCTGGGCGGGGTGGCCGCGAAGAAAGGGTGTTGGGCTAAACGATTTTCCCCTGGCCACCGTGAAACAGTGACAAATTGCCTGGAGAATTTCGGACATAGCCAAGAAAGGAATGAATAGGAAATATTTTATACAAGAGCCGATATTAGATTAGTTCCATTTAATGTAACAATTCGTTTGAGTCGCAATTTAAGATCGCGAATTCGAAAGCCCGTCTCACAATTGCGTCCCCAGCCTAAGAGGAAGGTGTTGTCACCAGTCAAGTAACTCAAAAAAAGACATAAACTTCTGCGAGGATTTATCTCATTTGGGATAAGGCTTCGAGGATACTATCTAATATATAAAATTCTCGTGTCACGGTGTTTGTAATTGAACTCCTCCGAAACGGCTCGACCGATTTTCGTGAAATTTTGTGTGGATATCGGCCGGGGTGGAGAATCGGACAACATCTATTTTTCGTCCCCCTAAATGTTAAGGGTGGTGCAACCCAAATATTTTTTTTTTACCCTACAAATTCCTTAGAAATAATTTATACGGCAAGACAACGTTTACCGGGTCAGCTAGTGATATATAAAGTAGAAGAAAAACTTGCCGACATAGTTTGACGTCAAATTTTATGATTTTTTTTAATATTATACGCATTAAATTACCACCGCTGTGTTTTATCAAACTGTACTTTTTCAACTTAATAATTTATAAGAACACTTTGTTAGTTCTTGATAAAATAATCGATGTTATTTAAAGGCTAAAATGCGCTAAAATTTGCGTTCCGTATTCGTGTTTATATTTTAAAACGTCAGCTTTGAAACTTGGGCGTGGAATTAATATTATGCGAGTGCTTTGAACGCGCTATGGGCAGGTGCAAGCGTGTATGTATATACAGTCGCTGTCACACAGAGACGTCAATTAGCGCTTAACTAGATTTCCATTACATTAGTCGGCAAGTGGAGTCTCATTATTAGGAGTTTAAGGACTGAAAAACACAAATGTAACAATTTTATACAAACATAATATTATCGGACATCTGTGGTACTAACAATTTGCAAGCATTGACGGAATAGTAGAATGAAATTATATTTTAGGTAAATTAACGACAAAAGTTCTATTTGCACAAGAATAGAAAAACTCTTACGAGAGCCATAGACGATCCATTTTTGTTCATTTGCCTCCATTTCCCTATTTGGATTATCATTATTCTTTTACCGCGGATAGCTTAATATGCTTGACTTGACTATCATATGGTACTTACCAACATGTGCGGTTTTATAATGGCTGTTGGTACTCTGGTTCAGTGAGAGCTTATTTACTCTTGTCTTGTAATATGACGGAAAACGGTCATATTGGGAAGAATTCGCAACATCTCATGCGGATACCTACATATAATGCAGAATAATGACCCCAATCCCAAAAGACGTCTATATCGAGAGGCATTAAACCGAGCCAACGAAATAATAGAGCCGTTTCCCCCGAGACTTTCATACGTCATAAAACTGAACCGATATCTTCTCGGCTCAATGCCCAAATGGCCACTGCGAATGAGAACGTCTTACAGTCGCGCAATAAACACATATTAATATCTCGCGGGCTATATGTGTAGAACGTGATAATCAACAAATATTAATTAAATTCGTAAACTTGAGCGTTTTAGTTAAAAATAAGCGATCATAGTGGAAAAGACACCGTTTTGCCACTAACGCGTCAATGGACGATCAATAGTTACCCCTATATAAGGTATATTTTTAATGAAACTTCATTGTTCCAAGCCTTTTAAGCTTTTCTTAATAACTATAAACACGTTATATTTTACAGACTAATCGGTGGTACTGATCTGTCGATGTTAAGGTCGGGGGTTTTAACCAGGTGGCGAGCACGAATAGGATTTATGTTTTTTTTATTTCTTTTACTCTCAAAATCACAGCATGACCAATATCATGTCATACCTTGTTGTTCGTACAGGTGCTCCACAGCTTATGGACTGAGCTTTCCGTAGCCTTTTCATTTTAAGGACGGGAACTTATTTATATAAAGAAAGAGGTACAATCGATTTTTCACCCGGCGTATTAGATCCTAAGCGTGATGGATGGAGAATACATCGTCGTAAACCGAGCTATATATCTCTCGAGGAAAACGTCTTTTTAAGACGACAAAATGCTCTCAGAAATCATTCGCGAAAATAATAAATGTTACGTACGCGACATACGGCTATAAAAATATCTCACTGTGAATAACCTCAAGAAATATGTGAAACCTATCTTAGTTTATATTTATAGTCGCAAGAAAATGAGCTAATCTTCCAATGTCATTTTGTATATATAGTTGGAGTTGTTACATGGGATTCTGTGTTTTATCTTCTAACATACCAACAATTTATTGGTCTAGGACGTCGACGCCAGACACCTTGGCAATGTGCACCGCGGCCGTTGCAATATGGTTTGACATATACAGACCGGTTCATGCATGTATGGATGGGATGCAATCGTGAGCCTAGTCGCAGGGCATTGGAATAGTAATGTAGGATTTAGCGAAAGCTGTCCCTACGTCGGCACTAAAACGTGAACAGACTAACGGTGTGAAAAAAAGTTATTTCACTTCAAAACAGCTGAACGCATCGCGGACAACCGGTCGTCTTGACATAGCGAATTTAATCCTATGTAAACTGATTCAGCACTGGACTGTTTGAGTCCACTCCTGAACATGGGCCGAAATGATGATGATGATGATGATGAATCTGATTCAATAACTCAAGCGTCTATCTCAGGAACAGAAGGTTCATTTCAAGGTCATCGGTGCGATTTTCAATTTTCATCAGCTCTATAAACGATCGCCCGGAAATTACCTCGTACATTTCTATCAAGATGGCCATCAAGACAAGCAGGCACAATAAAGCACTTTAGATTTATGAACTTAGACTTAAGGCCCATTTACACGATGCCATTTTCTTGTACATACAAGAGCAATAATTGAATGCAATAAATTGCGCGCAATAATTTGTTAGACCATTTGTTGTTTAGACCATGCAACTCATTTATTGCTTCAATTTAATTGTATACAACAGGCAAGAAACTTGCACCGTGTAAATGGGTCTTTAGACTCCAAAAAGCAGAAGTAATAAACGATATAGTATTTCTACTTTAGCTGAGTTATAAGTCCCCTTCCTCGTTAATGACAATAGAAAATAAAAGATGTACATATAAAATAATATACCGACTTTTATCGAAACTTATTTAATCCTAAAGGAAAAAATTTAGAAAACGCCATCATTACATAAAAGATATTTAAAGTAACTAAGTCTGGGGAGAAATATCTATCTTTATCGGATGTATGTATTTCATTTTCAGTCCTTGACATTCTACCCACGCAAAATATTACAACCCGAGTATCTAAAATGTAGATGGTGTCCTTGAAGCACTCACTACTACATACATATAATATAAGTACAAATTCAAACTTTGTCTCATCTCGAAGAATCAATAGTCATTAAACCTAAGAGCACAATCGTTAGATAGAAGTACCAATATCTGAAAAAAAAACCTAAATTCGCCAAACTGACCAACAATTTTAGTGGTGAGAGCTGAGTGAGTGAGAGGGCAATATTGTCCGAACACTAAAAATGCATGTAGCCTCTAAAACCTGTAAAGTATGTTACGGGCTTGGACGAACATCACAGGAGCATCTTACACCTTACCTGCAGACGCTGCGTGTGCATGATCCTGCGCCCGTTGACGTAGACGTGGGCGTCCGTGTGAAGAGGCGTTACGTTGTAGCCGCCCCCCTCGGCGGCGGCGATGACGCAGTGCCGCGGCTGGATCGACGGCCCGTACAGCTGGAGGCCAGTGCCGTTGCCGGAACCCACCTTGGTGGATAAAAACAACAGTCTAAATAAGATACCTTTATTTTTTTTCTTTCCTTAAAACCACGTTGCCTTTACTGTAGAATGACACTGTCCAGTATTATAATGACGTTTTACATGCACAATGTTCAAAGAAACTACCAGATCCGGAACAGTTCACATTAACATAGATAGGTACTTGTTCCGAGTGGGAAAAGAATCCACTAAGTCGGGCGAGGATGCCTCTAGGTTAGCAAACTGCGGCAAACGTGTCATTACTAGACCTGATGGTCAATTGTGATTAAAACTAACAAACAATTACTTGTCTGTATTTCTCTAAAGTATAATTCATTGGAATAAGACATGCACTTGTACATATTTGCAAGTGCATCTGAAGGTTTGGAAGCTTCGCCCTAGATTGAACCCTATCGTCTAGCTCAAGGATGAGCAACGCGCGGCCCGCGGGCCGCTTGCGGCCCGCCAAACATTTCTAAAATTGAATTTATTTTATCGAATTTCTCCCATCAATATAATTTTTATGAAATTAATTATAATAAAATGGTAGTTCATACTGAACCGAAATATTTTTTGTTTGTTTTTCTGTTCTTTTCTTGTTTGTTTTTACCTTGCATTTTTGTATATCAAATCTTTCCTTTTTTTTTAAAATTTTATATTTTATTATTCTAATATTTATTACAAATAAAATTTCGTATTATATGCGGCCCGCTAAAAAATGTTTTGAATTTAAATTGACCCATTGATTAAAAAGGTTGTCCCCTGATCTAGCTGAAGGACGTCTGCCCATCGAGTGGAAATAAAATAATAAAAACCGGCCAAGTGCGGTTGGGACTCAAGCACGAAGGGTTCCGTACCACTATCACTGTTCATGGGATACAGCCTGCTGACAGACGGACAAAGAGACAGACAGACAACGGAAGCCGTTTTATCCTTTGGGTACTGAGCCTTAAAAAAGTTTATAAGAAGACTGTTATTGGAAGTTGATCGGCAAATGGTAGTAGTAAAGTAACCTATATAATATGTCCCACCGCTGTGCAAAGGTCTCCTCTGTACAGAGGGAATTAGAGTATAGTCTACCACACTACCACTGCGAATTGGCGGACTTCACATATATTCGAAACATTTTTTTTTTGAATTTAACTGATGACGGCACAGAGATTTGAACTCAGGTTGTTCGAGTATATTGAATTAAAAGCGAGCGTCCTGAAACTAGTAGCTATCACGGCTGAATAGTTTTTTTCTTTTTAAAGACGAAAGGAAAGTGTCCGCCGAGGAAAGTTAAGAAAAACCGGAGCACCGGCAAGAAAGTGGTTGCTACTTTTCGCCAAATCAGCACATCACAGTATCGCTTGAAAGACAAAGGGCAATGATTGTAGATTGTTTAGGAAACAATTGCTTGCCGAGAGTGTTAGAAAAAGCTAATAAAAAGCCACCTTGCAGAAATTTCATCCTTCACTACGATAACGCGCATACACGCGGAATTTACTAAGAAAGCAAATGCATATTTGAAGGCCTCAATACCGAAATGATGCATGATGAACCAGCGCATCCAACATACCTTGTGACTTCTTATCATTTCGTAGCATTTAAAAAAGATAACCTTAGAGAGCTTTGCGATTTGTAAGCCCGAAAGCGTTTCAAATTACTTCTTTCTTTTTCTCGCATTTACCGAAGACTAGATCCACTGTTTGACATAATACCTCCAAAGCGAATGTGCTTCGAAAAATTGTAAATGTAGTATACTTATATATTTCAGTTTGACCTTAGTATGACACGGATTTAAATGATCCTCTATGTTAAGCTGCGTCCGGTAAAACTTTATATAGTGTACGGACTGAATGCACTAATATTACTATTAAAAAAGACTACCCAATTTATGTAAATTTCAAGAAACTTACAAAGATTACGTAGATTTTGTATTTATATAAAAACAAAGGTTAAGCTACAAAACAACGTAACGTTCTTTGTAAAGTAATATTTAGAAAAGTTGAAATCATGTCACTGACGAAATTTCAGAGTAGATTTTTCATATCATTACTACGACTATTTGAATTTCACAGAACGAAAAAAGCCAAATTAAAAACGAAACGAGAACTGTCTGAAACATGAATCCGCTCGCTGTGAGATAGATCTCATAATCGCGCCTCTGTGGAAATTAAATATACTTTTGTCTGCTCGTACTACACTCCCTAATCTGATTATTAAATATGTATGCGCTAATGCCCTTTATACCGTACTTAAGGTGTTTTCGGCTGAGCGAAGTAAATACATTAGAAAGGAGACTCTACCGAAAAGAGGTTATGATATACAGCGTGTCGTTACAACCGCAACAATAAATGAACAAGAATGATAAAGTCAGGCCAAGTGCAGTAGGCACAGCCACACTGTTGGGGGTATGTAGGAGACCTCCAACTGGAGGTAAAAAACAATATTTAATCGAGCAGCAGCTCAGACCAGCTTGCCAGCCACCTATGCCTTCAGCATCTACCACGAGGGATAACAAATCCAGCACAGAGTTTCCCAGACAGCAATCACAAATAATACGAACAGGAACTTGTTCTGATATCAACCTCTAGCCATGCACAGTCGAAGATAATAGATCCAAAAAAACTAATTTGTCCAATGTCAATTCGAACCGGCGGCTGTCTCAAATGACAAGTACCAACAAATTAACTTAACTTTTTGATTCGAACTTTCGAAAAGGCAAAGGTTCATAGGACATGCAGCCTAATCTTTAGAAAAACAACAATTTAGACAAAGTGATGAAATCACGCGTTACAAATGTATGAAGTCAGTTGTAGTTGTATAGGATGTTACAAATTTTGTTTCTTTTTTATTTATTTAGTTTGTTTGAAAAATATATTTTTTATGGATGGATTTTTTAACGTTTTATTTTTTTTTTACGATTATTGGCAAGTACGTTAGACGTGTTTTCATTTATTGTCGCGGTTGTAACGACACGCTGTATACAGAGAATGGAAACTCACCTTAAATATCGCACTCGCCTGTGGCGTAAACTAATATCTATCCTCTTGGGTGGATGTATTCCAAACCCAATTATTGGGAAGAGAGTCCAACAATGACAAAGGGGACGTAGGCTTTAAACTAATAAAATTACTAATAAATAAAATTGCTCAGAAAAGAAATGAGGCAATAAATTGCATTTCAACTTAATGATGAACCAGGCCCAATTTTATAAAAGGTGGTGGGTGACGGATGGATCCGGATAATAATGTTCCCAAGGAGAGTTGGTGTCAGGCAAGCGGCTGGTCGCAAAAGACCTAGCCAAAACCACCCACAACACGATTCAAATTTTGTGCAGACTCCACCTAGCTGGTACAGGGGCGGAGGAGGACGAGGATGACTCGTCAAATGTTTAAAAGTTCGGACACATTTTTACACAACATTCTCTAGTCGCAAAATAAGCAACGCTTGTACTATGGGTAATAGCTTGTATAGCTCATAAACAAACTTAAACATTTTTTTAAATAAATACATATCATACATACATAACACCCAGACACAACACACGTTTATATACATAACACCCAGACACTTGAAAAACACTATGTTCATCACACAAATTTCCCCAGTAGTGGGGATCGAACCCACACCCTCTGGCGCAGGAGGCCGGCCACTACGCCATTCGGGTCGTCACGTGCGTTATACGCGAATCTTGTGAAGCAAGCACCTCGAGCACATCGGTGAGGCGGGTCCTGCGGCCGTTCTCCAGGGCGGTGCCGTCTGGCGCCACCTCGACCAGCAGGGGTTCGGTGCCGGGCCGCGCACCGCCGCCCGCCTTCTTCTTCCTGCGCCGCGGCTGCGAGTCCGCCGGCCGCCGCCGCACGTGGAACATGATGGAGCCTGCGAGAGCAAAACGGTAGATAATTAATCAAAAGACTACAACAGATCGTAGCGAAGGCCTCAGTTTCATAGGGTATTAGGGCATCCATAGCGGATTGGGGGACTTCGCATACCTTAGAAATGTTATTTTTTTGTAATTGTTTCGAAAATATGCAGGTTTCCTCACGATATTTTCCTTCACTGCTCAGCACGTGATACGAAACCAGATTCAGAACCAGAATTCGAACCAGATTGCTCGAGTATATTGAATTAAAAGCGAACACCCGGACAATGAACACGTCTATACCGGATGGCCTATAGCGGGCAATATTATAGCATAAAGGCCCATTTACACGGTGCAAGTTTCTTGCCTGTTATATACAATTAAATTGAAGCAATAAATGAGTTGCATTGTCTAAACAGCACATAACATTCTTGACTGTTGAACAAGACTTGCTTCAAGTTTTGTTTCAAAACTTTCCTTGGTGTAAACAGCACACACAATAATTTCTTAAGCAATTCTTGTATTCAATTGCATTCTCTCTTCCTTTGCAAAAATTAGTGCAATGAGTGACGGTATTTAATCATTGCTGTTCTTTTGAGGATAGAAATATTGAGAAAAGGTCGTAAAAAAAGTTTGGATAAAAATATGAATAATAATAAATAAAGGCCCATTTACACGATGCCATTTTCTTGTACATGCAAGAGCAATAATTGAATGCAATAAATTGCGCGCAATAAATTGGTTAGACCATTTGTTGTTTAGACCAAGAACAAGAAGAGACAGAAACAAGTATTTAAAAAAAAATCACGTAGAAAAACTTGCCGGTCCAAGATTAGCTTGGTATAAACAACGTTACTCGTATATAAACATCATTAATACACATGGGGTGTTATAACGTAATTGCTTCGAGGGGCGATTTTAGGTAGCTCTTTTGTAAATACTGTCGTCGATAAACGTCGATAGCTTCGCGCCGCTAAAACGTCGGTAAACGGGGGGCGAAACGAAATTGAAAACCGTTATAAGAACGTTCCATTTGTGACAAGGCGTCATAGTATGTGAGGTGGAGGGCGCGGTGTGGGGGGGGGGGGGGGGTGTGTGTTGTTTGTAAGCATGGCCGGGAGACGAACTCCTACTGTCAACATCATTAGCCCCGAAACGCTCCCGAACCGGCTTAAATGACTTTGACAAGACCATTTAGAATAACTTAATTCACTTTGGACTTTAAAATTGAACGAGAGTGAACTTAAACGAGCTTAGATTTTCAACGGTCTTTTATGAGTGCTTCGTGTTTTATTTGATTTCGCTTCTTTACATCGTCTCTTTGTCGATTTTTGACATTTAGCATGATAGTGTACGTTTTATTGCTAATGGTATGACAAATTGTTGCCATCTCAGAATTGAAAATTGTGTTTTCAGACAATTAATATTTACCTTAATCATTTTCCTACGCTATGTTAGTCTTTGAAACGACCAAATCCTAAAAGAGACGCGATATATTATTTGTAACAACAATATTAAATAAAAATAGCAAATAAAAACAAAAAAATCGGTAAAACTGCTAGTTAATGTAGCAAATAGGAAAAGTATTCAGTGAAAGCATTACTATAATAAATTTTGGCAAAAATATAAAAGTAAGAATAAATAATAATGTAAAACTCGAAAGGAAAAGCATTTATGTCAGAAATACGTTAAAGAATAAGCTCTGTGGGTTTAGCAGTGATCTCGAACAGGAGAGATCATAATACTGATGATAAACTCAAAAAGAAGCAAAAAGATAAATAAAATAAATAAGTTAGATAGGCCGTAATTAATATAAGTAAAATTGGATATGGCCAATATAAGCGAAAGAAATAAAAAGTATAAGAAAGAAAATGTAACAAATGGGAAAAGCTTTAATAGTGTAGTAAAAAATTGGGGAAATCTGAATGAATGAACGGAAGAAAAAAAGAGTTATATTTAAAGACAAATTAACATATAGAACAAGAAATTGTGAAAATTATGTAAAATAAAAAAAAATAATACTGTACATTAAAGCTATAAAGCAAGGTAAGATTCCTAATATAAAAAAGGGAACATATAAAAAGGACTAGATCATCCATATACTCGAGAATTAACAAAAGAAGTGGACTCAAAATATTTCAATGCAATCAGAATTAAAATTAAATAAATAAAACTGGCTATATTAGCTTAGAAAAATTATTACAATATATGATCGGCTTGCTCTTCTCGAAAAGACTGTTACATAATCGGTCTGTTTTTTCAACCAAACATGCGTGAGCACTTAATAACCACTTCAAGCTAACAGAGAAAAACGCGTTTAGCTGGAGTGGCAAAATCAATAACCTCTACCCTCCACTCAATGGAAAACCAAACTAAACTTTTGTATAAATTTCTAAACAATGACATGTTCAACGTGCATCGTTAAGAGATATTAATTACATTTTTTTTTTAATTTACTAGACTGCACGGAAGTTTTGGGGTTCAATTTGCCAACTATCATTTCGCTCCGTGTTGTTAGGTTGTAGATTCGATCCCAGCACGGAAAAAACATTTCTGTGATCCATAATTAGTTGCTATGCATCTGAGTGTCTTTTGTGTCTGTGGTTTGTGCCTCGTGAAACCCGCGCGTTTTCCCTCAGCGTTTAAAAAAGTTAAACAATAGGGATGTCGCGGAACCATGTACACGCTGTAAAGTGTCTGAAACGTCGGGAATTTAAAATATAGAAAATTGGGATAAGATCCATAATATATTTTAGATATAACAATGATGGGTCTAGTCCGACTTGGTAGGAGGCTTACTTAATAGTCTACGATTTAAACTTTTTATATATACCACTATTTTTAAGTTATGTTTAAAGTTTGGTTTACGATATTTAACTAATCTTCATACTCACAAGCTTTACCATTAGATTAGGGAAGGCGACAATATCAAAGGGGCTATATTTTTTGTCTAATAATACTTAGGGTGTTGTTACATTCCTTACGTAATTTGTATAATCTGGAAAAAACCAGAGCATTTCATGACTGAAATTGACAAATGTACAAATTTAATATTAGGTAATCGTCTATTTTTCTTTTAATTACTGAGATACAATTACTTTAAAATTTTGTTCTCATAGTCAAGGTACAGCCCATATATTATGTCCCAACTGGGCCAATGATACCTATTGGCAGTGGTTATTCTGGCACTATTCTATTGACTGTAAATTTCTTCATAAACATTGTAAACATTTTTTATCATATTGCATGTCTACTCACGACCTGACACAACGCCTCACGAATTTATATCATCACTAGCGATGAACAAATAAGGTAATTTCACAATAGACGGAATTGAGCTTGGTCACGCTAGAGCTCTTGTTTTATAGAAGTAATTAGGTCCAATTAGGCAGTACGGGACGGAGTGAGCTGCTTAAAAAATAAAGCATTTAACTACTTCAATGCATAGCATTGGATTCGTAGCGCAAAGAAGACGACTTTGTTAGAGAAATAGCAAAAGAAATAGAAATAAAACCAAAAGTATATTTCCTTAGTATATTTGGCGTGCAATAATGATTTCGTATATTTAGAACAATTTATTTTAATACGGTTGGTCTCGTGATAAAATTTTCTTTTAAGTATTCGAAACATCGCTCGTCAATATGACAAATAAATCGCAGTAACTTGCGTACAGCTACACTGAATTCCCGACAAGTTTACGGAACCACTTACTTTATCCATTAATCCTTCTTGATTGTCTCAACCGACGGGCAGCCTGTGGTCTACCGTCCCATGTCTACATTACTCACTTACGCACTATAAATTGGCTTTATTATTCTTGTTTCATCCATCTTCATATAATTGTTTTGTAGCAAAAATCAATTTCGTCTAAATACTGGCAATGCCGACTTGTACTTTAACGCCCTACATCTTTTGTCCTGCAATTGCACATTACTAGGTGGGGTAGGTATAATATGTACTTCCCTTCAACTTTCCTTTATCAGCTGTCATGTTAATACTACCCTCTTTCACAGCCATATCATACTATACACAGTCCATCCAAACCTTTATCAATCCTACTACCTTACACCCTCCAACCACATTCAAAATCAACGCTCTTTTTATGTCCACACAAAATAAATACCTTATGTCTTTCTAGTAAGTGATATCCTAGTCAGCTTTCCTTATCACCTTCACTTGGTGCCGGGCGTAGTGCCGGGACGACTTAGCGAACTGTCACATACTAAAGCCAATCATTTACCGAGTACGATTTCCTTCCGTCCATAACGTAGTCTCGAACTAAACGATCGATTGGGGAGCATATCCCGTGGTGTTTTGAAGAGGCATGTTCTAGTTGTGTCGCGTGCTGTGTTCGACGGCTTATTGGCGACTGAGGGCGGTGACAAATGAATGACAATGCATCTACACGCTCGGTGGCCACGAGCTCGCCTCGTTAAGGCTATGTTAAACTTAGTAAAACGTTTTGTAAATATATGAATGAGTCTTTTATTAACTGTCGCTTTTTTTTTTAAATATTGAGTTTATATTGTGGATATGGTAATTTCGAACTATGTGTTATTATTATGTTATTCTATTGTGTTGTTATTAATTATTTGAATGGTTAGAGCTACGGCAGAAGTAGTCAAAACTTTTACTGAACAAATCCGGGTATAACAATATTTCATAGAACGTAAACCTTTGAAAAACAAAATAAACAAAACCACAACAAACTATTTACCTTCAAATTATTCTTTCATTTTGTAAAATTTGCGTTAAGTGCAAAAATAAACAATATTCACTTAATATTATGGCTCAAAATCTAACAAATACAAAATGAAACTAGGTTAATCATAAAATTGGTGTAGTGTTAAATAACTGTCAGACACATGTCATGTCAGACGCATTTCTAAATAATTAAGCTTGTCACGGTGAAATTGCATTGTTCAAGTAAAAACCTTACGATATTACATTAAATTTTATAGAGCTTTGTTAGAGTTAATAATATTACAGCTCAGTAGCGAGAACGCTGTTAAAAAAAAAACCTATATTCTTCTTTGTTCCGTTGACCTAATTTATGTTAAGGCATTGTGATATTAAAATGATTATGTGCGTCACCGTCACATAATTACTATTAATTAACACATAAGAGGCACTCTTACAAAATTAAAGTCGTTTCAAATGCTAAATGATTCTTAATGTTTTTTCATTGTACCATGATTAAATTTGCAATTTTATTTCACATCTAAAATGTTCCAAAGCCTTCTCGAGTGGTACGTTCCAGAATACCGGTGGAAGCATTACTTGAGCTAATTGACATCGCGATGGCGAATTGAGTCTGTTTGCTTTTCGAGACTGGCTCGATAAGGGAGGTGTCGCGATGACCACGCCTGACGCCGCTTGCGTGACTTTTTACCGATACCTCACCTGTTGCACCACACTACATCGTAAAATTATCTATTGGCAAAACTTGTCGCGCTTGTGTAGTAAATGGAAAATCTTTTGTTGCAAATTCACAGCGCGTTGTTGATTTTCGCGATTCCCTTGAAAATATTTCGATTTTTTTTATGTGAAAAGTTGTCAAACGAGCAGACGGTTCAACTGATGCTAAGTGAATACCGCCGCCCATGGACATGTGCTACACCCGAGGTTTTGCGGATACGTTGACTACCTTTTTGGAAATTGGGCTCCAGCTACCTCACTCACCAGACGAAACGCGAAAGTATTTGTCATACTTCCACTTTACACCGGTCTTTTGTGAGGTCATGGTACTTACCCGGACGAGTCTGCGCATTCGCGCAACAGCCTGGCTCTACCATAATTAAATTTCGATGAATGGTAATAAAGATGACTTTTAATTTAAAAATAACACTTAATATTAAATAGCAATACTTTTATCTCGTATGAATCTTATTTAGAACAGAACCATAGCGGAAATCGTGAAGATTTTTATGTTGATAAGTGGCAGGTCATATGAAGTGAATAACGCCGCCTATGGGCATCAACAACACCTATGGGTTGCAGATGTGAGGCCAACTAATTAAAACCCCGGATACCACATACAAAAACAGCGTCCGATAAATTGCAGCTCATTTAGTTAATAAATACAAAACTTTATGTATTTGTATTTAACTTTTGAGCATAAACATGATTAACTAGTACTACGAAATTTACGGTACGTGGCAAGTTAAATTGGCAAGTTAAAAAGAGAAGACGAC